TATATATCTATCAACAATTGAATCTACAAACAAAATGAGCAAGCAGAACAGAAACAGACTCATAGATACAGAGAACATTTTGTTGGTTGCCAGATGGGAGGGGGGAGGAGATGGGTGGAAAAGATGAAGGGATTAAGAAGTACAAATTCCCCCGGCACCAAGCATCCACCCACACCAAGAAGTGTCCAGTTCAATTTCCAGTCAGGGCACACACCCAGGTTGTGGGCCAAATACTCAGTAGAGGAAACACAGGAGGTGGCCAGTTAATGTTCTCTCTCATCGATGTTTCTCTCTCTCTCTCCCTCTTTCTTCCTCTCTCCCTAAAATCAATTTAAAAAATTTTATAAAAGCCCTGGCCAGTTTGGCTCAGCGGTTAGAGCGTGGGCCCAGGGACCAGAGAGTCCTGGGTTCGGTTCTAGCTAAGGGCATGTACCTCGGTTGCAGTTTGTCCCCAGCCCCGGTTGGGGTCATGTGGGTGGCGACCACTCAATGTGTCTCTCTCTCTTTTTTTTAATCCTCACCCAAGGACATTTTTTCCATATTTTGTTCAAATAGAGTGGGAGGGAGAGAGAGAGAAAAATATTGACGTGAAAGGGACACATCGAGTGGTTGCCACCTGCACGACCCAACCAGGGCCAGGGACAAACTGCAACCGAGGCACGTGCCCTTAGTGGGAACTGAACCCGGGTTTCTCCGGACCGTAGGCTGACGCTCTAACCGCTGAGCCAAACCAGCCAGGGCTCGATGTGTCTCTTTTCTTCTTCTTTTTTTTGTTGCATTTATCTTTAGACAGAGCAAGAGGGAGAGAGGGAAGAAGAGAGAGAAACATTGATGTGAGAGAGACACATCGAGTGGTCACCACCCAACTAGGGCCGGGGACAAACCACAACTGAGGCATGCTCCCCTAGTGGGAACTGAACCCGGGCCCCTCCGGTCTGTGGGCCAACGCTCAAACCACTTAGCAAAACCGGCCAGAGCTCAATGTGTCTCTTTTCCATCGATGTTTCTCTCTCTCTTCCCTCTCTCCCTCCCGCTCTATCTGAAGATAAATGCAAAAATGTCCTCGAGTGAGGATAAAAAAAAAAAGTACAAATTGGTTGTTAGATTGAGGAACCTCAAAGGGAAGGGGGAAGGTGGGGTGGGAAGAGAAAAACCAAAGAACTTATATACATATATGCATAAACAACAGACACAGACCAAAGTGTGGGGAAGGCAGGAGCGGGGGCAGGAGTGGGGAAGAGGGGTCAAGGAGGGAAAAAAGGAGGGACATCTTGAATACGTTCAACAATAAAGTTTAAAAAGAATAAAATAAAATTGACATAAACATTAGTTGATATTGACAATTCATTTTTTAGCTACAATTAAAAAACGAAGCTAACAAAAACTGTAACCCTTTAGGTTAGATATTCCTATTGGCACCCACACTGTAGATGAGGAAATGGTGGCTCAGAAAGGTAAAGAATAGTTCCCAAGGTCAAACAGCTGAGTGTTATAATCAACTCGGATAACTAAAAAGTCCCAGCTGCCCAAACTTGAGGCCCAGCTGCCAGAGTCCTGGGCTTCTCCTTCATTGAAATGGCAGCTCATGCCCTGGCCGGTTTGGCTCAGTGGTTGGAGCGTCGGCCTGCGGTTCAGTTCCTGCTAAGGGCATGTACCTCAGTTGCAGTTTGTCCCCGGCCCTGGTTGGGTCTTGTGGGTGACAGCCACTCGATGTGTCCCTTTCACGTCGATGGTTCTCTCGCTCTCTCTCTCTCCCTCCCTTCCACTCTATCTAAACAAAAAAATGGAAGAATGTCCTTGGGTGAGGATAAAGAAAAAGAAATGGCAGCTCATGAGAGAGAAGGGACAGATCTTAAAAAATACAGTCCGAGCCCTGGCCAATCAGTGGTTAGAGTGTCAGCCTGTGGACCAAAGAGTCGCAGGTTCTATTCTGGTCAAGGGCATGTACCTCAGTTGCAGTTCAGTCCCCTGCCCTGGTCGGGGTCATGCGGGAGGTAACCAGTCCATGTGTCCCTCTCACATCGATGTTTCTTTCTCTTTTTCTCTCCCTCCCTCCCACTCTATCTGAAGTTAAATAGAAAAATATCCTCAGGTGAGGATAAAAAAATGAAAAAAACAAAAACAAAAAAACAGTCTGGCACAGAGCAAGTGCTTGTTAAAGGTTCGTTGACTGATTGAATGATTGAGTGAATTTGAAGGTAGTTGTTTAAAAGACAATGTACTCGCCCTGGCGGGTTTGGTTCAGCGGTTAGAGCGTCGGCCTGCGGTACAGAGAGACCCGGGTTCGGTTCCCGCTAAGGGCATGTACCTCGGTTGCAGTTTGTCCCCGGCCCTGGTTGGTCGTGCGGGTGGCAACCACTCGATGTGTCCCTTCACGTCGATGCCCCCCCCCCCCCCCCCCCCCCCGTCTTAACAAAAAATGCAAAAATGTCCTCGGGTGAGGATTAAAAAAATAAATAAAAGACAATGTACTCTACCCCAACCATTCAGGGCCCTACAATTTAGTGCTCTCCACTTACCATCCTTGCTAGCGGCCCTTCCCACCTTGTTACCCAGAAGCTAGTCTAATGGCATTAACCATCCCAGCCAGCCAGGATACCATTAAAATCTTCAGTCCAGCCACTGTGTCCCCACCCCCGGTCTTGGCTCTGGGCCCTAGGCTGAGAGTGGTCTGGTTGTTTACCAGGAATTTGGACCTTCTTTAGAGAAAAGCACAGATGACCTATTAGTCTAATTCAAGCACTTAGCAAGGAATGGCTGTACCATTCACACCCCAGCCCTAGGCTAATGGAGCCAAAGCAAATGGAGAGGACTCTGATGGCTCAGAGATCTTCTGGGAGGGGAGGAAGGGGAAGGTCCAGTCAGTGCCCCGCCCAACTGGAGTTTGCAGGGAGGCAGATTGTTTGGGTGTTTCCTGGGGCAGGGTGGCCTGTGGGAACACAAGAACATACAGGGAGAGGCTTCCCTATTCCACCCACCACTCTGACAGCCCCACTGCCTACCCTACCCCCAGTCACCTCATCACTGCCTAAAACTTGACTGGAGTCCGGCTGGTGTGGCTCAGTGGTTGAGCATCAACTCATGCACCAAGAGGTTGCCGGTTCAATTCCCATTCAGGGCACATGCCCAGGTTGTGGGCCAGATCCCCAGTGGGGGGCATGCAGGAAGCGACCAATCGATGTTCTCTCTCATCAATGTTTCTATCTCTCTCTCCCTCTCACTTCCTCTCTCTCTCCAATCAATAAAGGAAAAAACAAATTTAACTTGACTGGAGAAAAATGGGAAAACAAGCAAATATCCATCAATACAGAATTGGTTAAATAAACTATGTATGTAGAAATATGCATTCATACAAGTCCATGTTATGCAGCTGATAAAAAGGATGATGTAGCCCAAGCTCTACTTATGGATGCTGAAAGATGTTGATTTACACTTTGATATGCAGTGTCTGCTCCATTTATGTAAAAATTATACATACCCATACATCCTCACGTGCACAGATCTACAGGAAACAGGTTTGGAAGTTTGGGAGTGAGATTTTTCGAGATTTTATTTGTTTTTGTTTTTGTTTTATCCTCACCCGAGGATATTTTTCCATTTTTTGTACAGATAGAGTGGGAGGGAGAGAGAGGAAGGGAGAGAGAGAGAGAAATATCAATGTGAAGGGACACATCGAGTGGCTGCCACCCGCACGACCAACCAGGGCCGGGGACAAACTGCAACCGAAGTACGTGCCCTTAGCGGGAACCAAACCCGGGTCTCTCCGGACCGCAGGCCGACGCTCTAACCGCTGAGCCAAACTGGCCAGGGCAAGAGATTTTCGAGATTTTAAATTTCTTCTTGATAATTATCCATATCACCCAAGTTCTCTGTAAAAACTTTATACTATAATTGCTAACTTTTTTGAGTCCATACTATGTGTCAGTCACAATGTTTTTACATGGATTATCTCATTTCTTATGAGGTGGGTTCTAGGCTTCTTCCATGTTACAGATGTGATTAATGAGGCTCAGAGAGGTTAAGCCCAAGGTCACATAGTTAATGACCGACAAAGTCAAGTGTTGTTGGAGGATTAAAAGAATTAACACATGTACTTGCACACAATAGGGGCTCAATAACTGAGGGTTATCATTATGATTATTACACAACACTTATCACACTGCATTTGTTTATTGACTGTCTTGTCTATACCCCTGCCCTCGTGTGTGAAAGGCTTGAAAACAGGATCTGAGTATTATTACCTTGGAATCTCCTGACTTAGCACAATGCCTTGCAGCCAGCACTCATCAGGTATTTATGGAGAGAGTGAGTGAATGAGTTAATAGACAAATGTCTTCCAACTATTTTGCATAGGTGGCTATTTCTTTATCCCAACAGGATTGTCAATTGGATCAAGGACCAGTGTCTCCTTTCCTCTGGCCCCTATTATAGTGTGGAACAGATCAATAACATAAGCAGGTACTCAATAAATGCTGTGGTTGACTAAAGACCCTCGCTCTAAGCTGCTGTGGAATATCCCAGGCAGTATTCCAGACATGGATGGAGTTTGGACAGATACAGGTCATCAACTTCACAGAAGCTATTGTTTTCTTCCAACTCCATGTCAAGTACACAGAGAGGCTGAGAGACTTGCCCAAGTCACACAGCAGTTGGTAGCAGAGTTGATGTGTCTCCTAATCACCTGGTCTGTGCTCTTCTTGTCTGTAAAATCTCTAGTTCTGTATAAATTCACAACGTAAGAAAATGGAAAAAGAGCAAAGTTGTAAGTCAAATGTTTAATCATGATCTAAAAGGCTCGGGGAATGTTGGGACAGTAGCAGGAAGAAATCAAGGCCTAAATGCTCTGGCTCCTAATGCTCAAATGCTCTGTAGGATCCCAGGGCAGGGCACGCAGCAGGTTGCCATCCTCTATTCAGAGGACACAATGGGGCAGGATTCTTGCTCTGGCCTTCCTAACAATGGGGAATGTGTTTGTAAACTGCCCCAGAACACCCATCCCTGACCACCCGGAGAACACAGTGAAGAATAACTGATTTGTTAGAACCTGATGATCCTGGTAGGAAAGGGTCACAAGAGAGCTTAGTAGAGCCAGTCACCACCAGAAGATATGGCTGAACCATGGTGACCAATTCCTAAGGAGGGGAGCCTGAGTCAGAAATGGAGGGAATGAGAATTCAGCTGGTCAGCTTCTACTGTGTGAATGTGCAGTGGTGGGGCTATCAGGGCTGTCATATAGTGTACTGCATCTCCTTCGTGATGCTGTCCGTTCCTCACTTCTTGCAGGTGGCAGGTCAGGCTGGGTGTAGTAGAGAAGAGAACCCCCAGGGAATTCCAGCTACCAGAAACTTAGGAGCAGAATCAAGGTAAGTGTGCAGAAGAAAAAAGAGGGCATCCAGGGCTGTGTCCTCAGAGCAAGGTCTTTGTTCTGTGGAAGAAATGCAATGGAGTCAGTTCTATCCCCTTCACCACCTCAGCCTCAGTCAAGGACTGTCCCCATCCCCTAAGATGTCCATTAGCGGTCTAGAGTATCCGTGACAACAAGGAGGTCACCCCCTCTATCCCTCTGTCTGCCTTGTCTGGGATTCCCCCAGATGGTTCAGTAAAGGTATGAGGAATGTAACAGAAGAGGCCTTACTTGGTGTTCCTTCAGGGGTAAAGTAGAGTCTGCCAGGTGCTGGGAGAAGAGCTGGCTGTGCAAGCGCATCTTAACTGCAATGGCCTCCACTGAGGAGAAAAGAGAAGTAATCTAGAAGTGGACAGATGCTGGATATTTCGCAGGCTCCAAAGGAAGGAAAGGGTAATGTCTCAGGGACCCTGGAATATAGGAGGGTAGATAGGTGGCAGGTGGGAATGGGATATTGTCTCATTCTGCTTGCTTATTCCTTAAGCTGAACAGTTACAGTGTCCCCTGGGCCCAGACAGGTTGAATGGGCAGCTTGTGGGTCACTCAGGGAGCAGGAGAAGGAAGAAAGGCCCAGGCTGAGGGATCTAAGCCTGTTATGAGGAGGGGGCTGCTCTGTCTGCAGGAGATAGATGAAGCTGACCCTTTTTCTCTCCCTGGGTCCAGCTGACCTGGCCACTGGGGAGGGAGCAGATGGAACACACTCACTGAGGCAGGGGTTGTGGGAAAAAGACTCTTCCAGCCGTTCACAATCCTCCTGCAGGTTGCCACTGCCTCGGCAGGTACAGCTTAAGGCAACACTGGCATTGATATTGCTGACAAAGTTGGGGGTCATAGCAGTCCCTGTGGGGTGAAGAGGGGATTGTCAGGGCTTAGGCCAACCTCAACTTCAGCACCCATCCTCTCCCACCTGTCTTAGGAGCACTCCATCTGGGTTCAGCAGCCAGAGCATTCTCATGCCGAGGCCAATCTGTGGGCTCCCAACACATATCCCATAGCCTTACCAATCATTCCCATGTACGCTTGCAGACATCTGGACTGCTTTGTAGCACAGGTCCCTAGGATGTCCATGGGATGGCAGTGGGTCTGAAAATCAGCCAGGCGTGATCTGGAAGAAGAAAAAAGAAAACAACCTAAATATCTAACAATAAAGAATGATTATCCTGGTTGCTGTGGCTCAGTTGGTTGAGCATTGTTCCATGCACCAAGAGGTTGTTGGTTCAATTCCCAGTCAGGGCACATGCCCAGGTTGAAGACTCAGTCCCCAGTAGGAGGTGTTTAGGAGGCAGCCGATCCATCAATGATTGATGTTTCTCTCTCTCCCTCTCTCTTCCTGTCTAAAAATAAATAAAAACATTTTTTTAAAAGGAAAAATGATTAAATAGCCCTGGCCAGTGTGGCTCAGTTGGTTGGAGCATTATCCCATATAAAAGGTTGCAGGTTCCATCCTTAGTCAGGGCACATACATAGGTTGTGGGTTCCATCCCCAGTGGGGGCACACTCAGGAGGCAACCAATCAATGTTTCGCTCTCACATCAATGTTTCTCTCTCTCTAAAAATCAATTAAAAATTTTATTTTATTTTATTTTATTTTTTATTTTATTTTATTTTTTATTCTTACCTGAGGACACTTTTTTGCATTTATCTTCAGACAGAGCGGGAGGGAGAAAGGGGGGAAGAGAGAGAGAGAAACATAGATGTGAAAGACACATCGAGTGGTCGCCACCCACATGACTCCAACAGGGGCCAGGGACAAACTGCAACTGAGGTATGTGCCCTTAGCGGGAACCGAACACGGGACTCTCTGGTCCCTGGGCCGACGCTCTAACCACTGAGCCAAACCAGCCAAGGCTAAAAAAATTTTTTTAAAGAATGATTATATAGCACGGACAGTGTGGCTCAGTGGTTGAGTGTTGATCCATGCACCAAGAGGTCGCTGGTTCAATTCCTGGTCAGGGCACATGCCCAGGTTGTGGGCCAAGTCCTCAATAAGGGGCATGCAGGAGGTGGCCAACTGATGTTTTCTCTCATTGATGTTTCTATCTCTCATTCCCTTTCCCTTCCTCTCTCTCTAAAATCAATAAAGGGGGAAAAATTAAAAAAAAAAAAAAAAGAATCATTATATAAAGCATGGGCATCCATAAAATGGAGTACGATGTAAGCTCTTAAAAATCAAGTTGTGGCCCTGGCCAGTTTGGCTCAGCGGTTGGAGTGTCATGTTGGCCTGCGAACCAGAGAGACCTGGGTTCGGTTCCTGCTAAGGGCACACACCTCAGTTGCAATTTGTCCCCGGCCCCAATCGGGGCCATGTGGGTGGCAACCAGTTGATGTGTCTCTCTCACATCAATGTTTTGCTCTCTCTCCTCCTCCCTTTTTCTCTCCCACTCTATCTGAAGATAAATACAAAAATGTCCTCGGGTGAGGGTAAAAAAAAAAAAAATCAAGTTGTTAAAGAACAGTAATTGACAAAATAAGCATCACTATTTGTTGAGCACTTACTTTGTACCAGCAAGTTAAGCACTGTACATAAATTATGTACTTTAACTCTTACCAAAATCCTATGAGATCTGTATTATTATCTCAGTTTTTACAGAGGACTAAGTGGAAACCTGGAATTAGTGATGGAATTTTAGGTTAAGTGATGATCTCAAGGTCACACAGACCCAGGACTTCAATTTAGATCTGTCTGACTTCAGGGCTTGTCTTCACCACTATTCCATACTGCCTCCACCAGAAAATGCTCAGAAGATATGTACCATAAGTGAAAAAACGTACAATATAAAATATAAATATATTCCCAGAATATCAATTTTTTTATTTCTTTTTTTTTTTTTCTTTATTGATTTTACGGAGAGGAAGGGGGAAAGAGATAGAAACATCGAAGAGAGAGAACATTGATTGGTCGTCTCCTGCATGCTCCCCACTGAGGATCAGGCCCACAAAATGGACATATGTCCTGACCGTGAATCGAACTGGCGACCGCTTGGTGCATTGGTCTATGCTCAACCACTGAGCCCACCAGCGGGACAAGATAGCTACCCTGTTAAGTCAGCCCAGCCCAAAGGCAGCGCGGAGAGAGTGGTACGCACTGTGTTCTTGCCAACCCTGCCCACCCGCACCCAGCCCACCCAGCCCCTGCACCTGCACAGCTTGTCTGAGAGGCAGAGGCGCCGCAGTTCCAGGCAGTTGGGGGTCTCAGAGGGCAGCGAGCAGCTGGGGGCGATTGTGTTGCGCCGGCGCTGCCCGCAGCCCAGGTCAGAAGGCGCACACGGGCACAGCAGCAGGCCCTGCGCGTGGTGCTCCGATGCCTTCTCGAAGAAGGCACGGAGCTGCCGGAGGCAGGTGTTGCGCTGGCAGTGGGGTCTGGAACACGCCTCCCCATAGGCCTTGCGCAACCGGTCACACTTGCTGTTAAGAGCGCACAGCGTGGTGAACTTGAGGCATAGGTCCGACTCTGTGGAAAGAGCAGCACCAAGTCACCAGTCCTACCTGCAACCCTGCTTCCTCAGGACCCCCTTCCCCCACCCCGCAACCCTCTGATTTAACTAGCATGTTAGTAGGGTTAGGAAGAAAGGGAGGGCTGCCCTGGGTAAAACACGTGTAATTCAAGGCTTTTCCTCCACAGAAAACCGATATCTGGTACTCGTGAGCCTCCCCTATCCTACTCCTCAACTTGACCAGGTTAAAAAACAAAACAAAACAAAAAAACCCTGGCCGGTTTGACTCCGGAGTTGGAGCATCGCCCGTGGACCAAGGAGCCGCGGGTTCAGTTCCAGTCAAGGGCACATACCTCGGTTGCAGTTGGGTCCCCAGCCCTGGTAGGAGTCAACCAATCCATCTCTCTCTCTGTCTCTCTCTGTCTCTCTCTCCCTCCCACCTCCCCTCCCTCAGGTGAGGATTTTTTTTAAAAAGGCCATTTACATCTAAAGCTCATTTATCTAGCAGCCAGGAAGCTCTCAACTAACCAATCCTTTCCTCAATCCTATGCATCGAATGAGATCTCATGGTGGAAATAAGCTAGAGGCCCCAGAACAATCTAAAGTACTTTCTGAACTGTCCAGCAAATGCAACCAGGTTGTACTTAGGATTTTTGTTTTGTTTTACATTTGTCTGTTCTGCTCAGTATTAATATCACCTGCCTGTCTTTCATTGGTTGATGCATGCATAAAAATTTCCCATACTCTTGAGTCTTGGGAAATTATAGTGATATTTCTATTAATTGAATATTTCAGCAGTCAGGATAATGGAGTAACTGGAACAGGTAAATTCCTGGATTCCTTGTAACTAAGAGTTTATGTATAAATCTCTATGCTTTTCTCTCAAATTTCTAATATATAGGACTATATAACAAAACTCACATCCTTCCCAGAAAGAGTGTGTGTGTGTGTGCATTCCCTTCCAATTAACACAACAGCTTCACTTTCCTGAAAAACATGCATCATAGTCTTTGCCAGACAGCTGGCTCCCCACCCGAAACACCCCGGAGGAGTCACATTCTCTCTAACCATTTTCCCTGCCCAGCACCTCACCCATCCCATTAGAATGGATAAAAACAAGCAATTTCCTAGTCTTCAGGGACAAAAAAATTGTTTGTTTTTTTTTTAAGAGAAAGAGGAAGTGAGAGAAAGATGGATTTGTTGTTCCACTTATTTATGCATTTGTTGGTTGATTCTTTTATTTTTTTGTTATTCCTTACCTGATATTTTTCCACTGATTTTTAGATAGAGTGGAAAGGAGGGAGGGAGGGAGATTGAGAGAGAAACATGGATATGAGAGAGACACATCAGTTGGTTGCCTCCTGCACAGCCTTGGGGATCGAACCTGCAATCCAGGTACATGCCCCTGACTAGAAATCCAACTGTGACCCTTTGATCTGACACTCTAACCAGTGAGAAACACCAGCCAGAGCCATTGGTTGATTCTTATATGTGCCCTGACCCGGGATCAAACCCACAACTTGGTGTATCGAGAGGATGCTGTAACCAACTGAACTACCAGAGCAAAAAACTACTTTCGTGGCTGCTTTGAATGAGGGTAAATATGCCATTTCAGCACATTTTTTTCTGGGATTGCTGCCACTCCCACAAACCCTTTGCAGAGAACCACTTTTTGGAACCAAGGAGCCCTAATGGGCTCTTTTCAAATGCCTCCCTAATAACTATTGCTCTTTGATGAGTCTTGTGAGACCAGACCATGCCCCACAACTCAGACTCCCACTCTATATAATACTGTTTTAGTTACCTGGCAGGTAAGGACTTTTTCCTCACAAGCCACCCCACTTCCCCCAGTTTTTGTGCCCCTCCAGGGCTCAGGCCCAGTCCCCATACCATTGTGTCTGCTTACCTTCCACACCTTGTTTGAGCATGTTTAGTTTGCTGAGATTCATTTTCCAGGGTTTTCTGGTCGCAGTGTCTTCATAGGGGGAGACATCTGGCTCATAGTCACCTAGAGACAAGGTGGGGAGCACCAGAGTACTTAGGACCAGGCTGGGGGCAGGAGCAGGAGGGGCTGAGGTTGCTGAGTTAGACCTCAAAGCCCTGTGGAGAAAAGGAAAACACACTCTCTTCCTAACTAGCTGTAAACTGTGCAGAAGTGAGAAAAAAGCAGAGCCATAAAGGTATAGGCTAGGCTTGGGGAATAATCTAGGTTTAATGATAAGAATAGTAAAGGTACCATGTTGAGCACACGCTGGGTGCTAGGCACTATGGTGTAAGTGTGGGGGGGGGATAAAAAATATATATATGTATATGTATATATTGTGTCTGCTTACCTTCCACACCTTGGAAGGTAAGATAGATAGATAGATAGATAGATAGATAGATAAATAGATTCTATATTTTTTATTTCATTTAATCCTCCTAAGAAGCCTTTGGGTAGGTAAGAAGAAACACGTTAAGAGAAGTTAAGGCACTCACTCAGGCTCACATTAGCTAAGAAGTGGAGCTGGGATTTGAAACCTAGACTATCTAATTGCAGAATCTCTGCTCCTAGCCATATTTCCGGCGGGTCCATGAGCAGGCAACAGGACTCTTGTCTTGTTTTCTCTTCCTATTGGAGAAGGGGCAGTGGTAGACTGTTCCAGGTCTGACCACTTGGCTATGGAGAAGCATTGCATGCTGAGGAGATGGAAGTGAGGCCAGGTCCCAAAGTGAACCTGAGGGAGAAAAGCAGAGAAGGAAGAAACATGATCTAGAAGGAAACACATCTCTCTCAGTCACCCCTATGGGGCTGTGAGCTCCTTAAGGGGATTTACTGGGTCTTACTAAATCACTGCATAGTTCATATACATGGTAGGTACCTAATAAATAAATATTGGCTAGTAAATCTTGCTGGAAGAGAGAGAGGTGAGAGAAGTGAACTTGTAGGTTTGTCACCCAATAAGCCTCTGTGAATGAATCTTTAGGAGGCGAGGAATATGGATGATGTCCAGGCAAATAGAAGAGGATAGTTTGAATATTTGGAAAGGCCTGATGCTACTAAGAAAAAAGGGGAGACGAGAAGATCCAAGGAGGTCTCAGGAAATTCTAAAACAGAAGGGAATAGGATGAGGAATGAAAAACAGGAAACAAGGAGAGTAATAAATTGTATTACTGTTTCCAATTACTTGCTACCCACCCTGTGGGAAGATTATACATCCCCACCTGTTGCCATGTGACTTTCAGTTCCCCATCCCACTGCCAGATTTGGCCATGTGACTTGCTTTGACCTGTGCATTGTGAGCTGAAATGACATAAATCACATCTGATCAGAAGCTTTAAGAACCATCACCTGAGCCCCGGCCGGTTTGGCTCAGCAGTTAGAGCATTGGCCTGTGGACCAATGAGTCATGGGTTCAATTCCAGTCAAGGGCATGTACCTCGGTTGCAGTTCGTCCCCTGCCCTGGCTGTGGTTGTGTGGGAGGCAACCAGTCGATGTGTCCTTCTCACATCGATGTTTCTCTCTCTCTCTCACTCTCTCCCTTCCACTCTGTCTGAAGATAAATAGAAAAATATCCTTGGATGAGGATTAAAAGAAAAAAAGCAAACATCGCCTGAGCCTGGCAGGTGTGGCTCAGTGGCTGAGCGCTGACCCATGCACTAAGAGGTCGCTGGTTCGATTCCTGGTCAGGGCACATGCCCAGGTTGTGGGCCAGGTCCCCAGCGAGGGGCATGCAGGAGGCAGCCAATCGATGTTCTCTCTCATCGATGTTTCTAGCTCTCTCTCCCTCTCCCTTCCTCTCTCCTTAAAATCAATAAAAGAAAAAAAGTCTGGCCAGTGTGGCTCAGTGGTTGAGTGTCGACCCATGCACCAAGAGGTTGCCAGTTCAGTTCCTGGTCAGGGCACATGCCCAGGTTGTGGGCTGGGTCCCCAGTAGGTCCCCATGCCCAGTGGGGGTAAAAAAAAAATATATATATATATAGAGAGAGAGAGTGTCTGCTTACCAGTCCATGTTCCCTCTCACTGATGTTTCTATCTCTCCTTCCCTCTCCCTTCCTCTCTGTCTCTAACATCAATAAAGAAAAAAAATTTGTTGCCCTGGCTGGTTTGGCTCAGCGGTTAGAGCGTCAGCCTGTGGTCCTGAGAGACCCGGGTTCCTTTCCCGCTAAGGGCACGTACCTCGGTTGCAGTTTGTCCCCGGCCCTGGTAGGTCGTGCGGGTGGCGGCCACTCGGTGTGTTCCTTTCACATCGATGTTTCTCTCTCTCTATCTGTTCCTCTCTCTCCCTCCCACTCTACCTGAACAAAAAATGGAAAAATGTCCTTGGGTGAGGATAAAAAAAAAAAAAAAATTTGTTTAAATAAATAAATAAAAATAAAGGAAAAAAAGAAGAACCATCACCTGGTTCTGCTGTAGCTCTCCTCCCTCTACCAGCCTGGACCTCTGAATGAAGAAGACATAGCCAACTCATGAAAGCCTGTAGCAGATGTGTAACACGAGCAAGAAATATATTTTTGTTGTTGAAAGCCAGGGATCTGGGAGTTGCTTGGTTGTTACTGCAACATAACCTAGCAAATTCTTACTAAAAATGCAATTGGTATCTAGAAGTGGAGTGCTGCCCAAACAACAACAAAAAAATCAAATATATGGTATTGGCTTTGGAACTGAGCAGTGGGTAGTGAACTTGGAAGAAAGATGATATACTGGTTGAGCTCGTGCTTTAAGGGAAGAAGCTGAGAAGCAGAAGGTTACTAGTATGTCTTCATTGCTATAGGCTGCATTTGACAAGGTACTCTGAGGAAAATATAAGCTCAGAGAAGAACTGACCAGTTGGCAAGTAGAGAGGAAATAGAAAAGGGAGAATCCAGAAATTCTAAGACTTAAGGATTGAGTTGCAACTGCTTCTCATATTCAAATGGTAAAACATAAAACTGAAAAATGCCTTGAGTAATCAAGTCTATTACAACTCAGTTTTGGAGCAAAGACCAGATCAAGTTTGTGGTCATCATGCCCTTGGTAAGGATTGCTCATTGATTAAGATGGTATCCAATAAATCCTGCCAGCTGGACAAATGAACTCAGGGGGAAAAGAATAAGGTAATGGCTCTCCCACAGAAGCCGGGAAAGGGCAAGGTACTTCTAATTCAGTCTAGAAAGAGATGCATGTCTTAAAAAGAATTATAGGAAAGGCTACTACTGGCACAGGGGTGACAGAAAGCAAAGTATAAAAAGAAATTATGTTCTGAGAGAGTTGAACTGCTAAGAGCCACCAGTTTGGATTAAAAGAGACTGACTATTTGAGACTCAAAATGCCCCAATATTCCTCAGATAGAAAGCAGGCCTAGATTGCTGCCCAACCCCCAAGGAGGTCAGAGTTTCCACACCCTTTTTAGATGTGGCCAAAGAAGACACAGCAGATCCTTGAATAACATCATTTAGTTCTACCTTGTTTTGTTATGTTGATGAGAAAAATCATTGATTCTCAGCAGAGCAACTGTCTGTGGAGTTTGCATATCTTCCCATGTCTGCATAAGTTTTCTCTGGGTACTCGGGTTTCCTCCCCCATTCCAAACATGTGTATGTTAGGTGAACTAGCATGTGTATATTGTCTGGTCTGAGTGAATGTGGTTGAGGGTGTGTGGCCCTGTGATAGAAGAGTGTCCTATCCAGGGTGGGTTCCAGCCTTGCACCCTGAGCTGCCAGGATAGGCTCTGGTCACCCACAACCCTGAACTGTAATAAATTATCTTACTTGTTTTTATCTTTCTTTCTTAAATAGATGTATAGCTCACCTTTATTTCAATGTTTAATATCAGAAGAGTTTTGGGTCTTTATTTAGAAGTTTGGTGATGTGTCGATGACATTAAATAAGGACTTACTGTAATGGAAAATGAAGGACCTCCCAGGGAGCCAGAAAACAATGAAAGAGCAACTCTCCCATGGAGCAAGAACAACCCCTGCTCCCAAGGAAGATGGCTTTGTGACATTTGTCACAGGGGTAGGGAACATCTGGTCCACAAGTTGTATAAGGCCTGCGAAATCAATACCAGCTAACATAACATGCCCCACCAAATAAATTATCCTGAACAAATATAGCAGGCTAATTTTTAAATTTATACACACACACACACACACACACACACATTTTAGATAGAGTGGAAATGGAGGAAGGGAGAGAAACATCAATGTGAAAGAAACACACTGATTACATCAATTGGTTGCCTCCCACATGACCCGACAGGGGCTGGTGATTGAACCTGCAATCTAGGTACATGCCATTGATCAGGAATCAAATCCACAACCCTTTGGTCCTTGGCCCAAAGCTCTAACCGCTAGGCCAAACTAGCCAGGGCTAAGTTGATAATTTTGTATGGCCCGCAAATGGTGTTATAAATATTCAAATAGCCCTTGGCAGAAAAAAGGTTCCCCACCCCGGGCAGAGGGACTTTGGAGTTGCTATGAATTCATGTTTGCAGCATGCCTCCCATCCCTCCCCTTTCTTACTAACAGTATTTGTTCTGGTTTTCCTGTCCCTGTTCCATTATTGTATTTTGAAGATGTGTGGGAGGCAGATGACTTGTCTTTTTAGTCCATAAATTTCTAGTCAAGAGGAGCCACATCTGGCCTGATATAGAAATAATCACAAGATCCTAGACTTGGAGCATAATGTCATATCTGGATAGAACTCTTTGGGCATCTTCCTTGGGAAGTGTAAGGTGTATTTTGCTTGTGGAAGGGAGGAAAATGAATATTTTGACCAAGTGGTGGACTATGGAGGTTGCATTATTGTTTCCAGTTCAGTTTGCCCTCGCTGTAAGATTACATATTCTTATTTATTGCCATGTGATTTTCAGTGTCTCCCTGTGGAAGAGGAAGCTCTTCTCTTTGGCTCTTCCAGTGCTCTCTCTCTTTTACTATCTCCTACCTGGCTAAGGAGTATCCTTTCTGTTAAAGGTTGGACCAGCATATTGCTTCCCAGTCTCTGAATTTATGGATTACATTGTATTTGGAGCCTGTTTATGGGTTAAGACCATTTTCCTCCACTTCCTCTCCACACCCTTCTGTTCCAGCAGCTCCCCAGGTTGGGCCTTAACCTGGTTCAGATCTCTGCCAAGAGGCAGCTACATGTTGTCAGGTAAGAAAGCAGGAAGTAGGGAGAGGTCAATGTTGGGGGATCAAAAGGATAATGACAATTTCTCCTTCCACTTCTCACTGATGTCACATGAAGTGATTCATTATCATTCCTCTCAGAATCTTTGTTGCTCATACACTGAAGGACTGAAAAACACCCCCCAAGAGCCATCTACCCTAGCTTAGTCCACTGTAGGATGGGGACCTCACCAAGGCTGCGGGCAGGGTGAACGGTCCAGTAGATGTCCAGGCAGGCAGTTTGGTTCTTCATGTGCCGGTGGCATGTGCAGCTCATCAATGAGTTGTTCCTGAGGTGTTGTGCTGCCTCCAAGCAGTCCGCAAAAACTGTAGGTGAGGGGTTTTTTATACTAGAAGTGCAGGAGTTCAGGTGGTGGTAAGCAGCAATGCAAGTGGGATCGGCCTGGCATTTCTTCCTGGCCTGGATACAATTGTTCAGGAGCTGGCCCCCTGTGGAGGGAAAGAGATCAAGTGGGGCTCACATAAGGTCAGCGTAGCTGCCTGGGAGTACCAAGTCCTCAGGTAAGATGAAGCCTTGGGCAGGAAAGTGTCTGGGTGGCACAAAGGCCTTTAGGAATAAGTGCGGGGAGAAGAAAGCCCAGCTGGCGCGGAGAACAGATCAGGCCCAACAAGGGATCTGAAGAGAGGCTGCTCAGCCTCCTGGGAGGGGAAGGGGGACATTTGTTTAAAGCTGACCCTGATGACCCTGCCAGGCATAGAGAGGAGGGCCCTGAGCAGAGCTCTGCCATGGGTAGGGCTAGCATCGTAACCAGAGAGTTGAGAATGTGCATGGGCATGCTAAATGAGAGTTAGCAATAATTATGAGTTACTTAAAATAGCTTACAGTGGAAATTGGTTAGGGTGTGGAGCTTTTGCCATTTCTATCACTCACTCAGGAATACCAAGTTTGGTTATATCTCAGCTCTGGAGGAAGACCCTTCATCCTAGAATTTAGATCCCTATCAAGGGTAACAACATCATCATACCCTGAGTTTTTCAAAGCAAAACATCTAGGAGTCATTCTTTTTTTTTTTTTTTAACCCTCATCTGAGGATATTTTTATATTTATCTTCAGATAGAGTGGAAAGGAAGGAGAGAGAGAGAAACATCGACGTGAGAGGGACACACTGATCGGTTGCCTCCCGCATGATTCCAACCAAGGCCCGGGATGAACTGCAACCGAGATACGCATTCTTGACCAGAATCAAACCCGCGACTCATTGGTGCGTGGGCCAACGCTCTAACCGCTCTAACCGCTGAGCCAAACCAGCTAGGGCAAGGAGTCATTCTTAATTCTTCTTTCCTTCACATCCTATGCTCAATCCAACAAGTCCTGTTAACTCCACAACCTATCTGGAATCTGTTCACTTCTCTCCATAGCAATTACTACTTCCTTTGCTCTAGTCACCATTAACTCTTATCTGAACTACTGCCAAGGCTCATTATTGGTTTCCCTGATTCCACCTTCCAAATTCATTCTCCTAAACCACTCACCCACCCTTTTTAGTTTTCCAGCTTTATTCAGATATAATTAACATATAACAGTGTGTGTTTCAGATGTACAATATGATGATTTGATGTATATATTGTGAAATGATTACCATAATAAGATTAGTTCCTTCACCTCACACAATTACTATTTTGTTGTTACAGCCGCCATTTTTTTTTTTTTTTTTGTCCTCACCCGAGGATATTTTTCCATTTTTTGTACAGATAGAGTGGGAGGGAGAGAGAGGAAGGGAGAGAGAGAGAGAAACATCGACGTGAAGGGACACATCGAGTGGCTGCCACCCGCATGACCAACCAGGGCCGGGGACAAACTGCAACCGAAGTACGTGCCCTTAGCGGGAACCGAACCCGGGTCTCTCCGGACCGCAGGCCGACGCTCTAACCGCTGAGCCAAACTGGCCAGGGCACAGCCGCCATTTTTAATGAAATTTTTTAGGTGGGAATAAACATTTTTACTGAAGTAAAATTCATGCAACATAAAATTAACTATCTTAAAGGGTACAATTAAGTGGCATTTAGTACATTCATGACTGTTGTAAACCATCACTTCCAATTTCAATACATTTTTATCACCCCAAAAGGAAACCCAAACTCATTAAACACACCATTCTACCTTCCTCCTAGTCTCTTGCAATCACTAAACTACTTTTTATCTCAACAGATTTCATAGATATTTTATGTAAATGGAATTATAAAATATTTAATCTTTTATATCTGACTTCTTTCACCTAACACACTGTTTTTAAGGTTCATCCACATTGTAGCATGTATCAGAACTTCATGCTTTTATGTGAATGAATAATTCATTGTATGCATATACATTTTATTTATCCATACATCACTTGATGGACATTTGGGTTATTTCCTCTGGTCACTGTGAATAGTGCTGCTGTAAAAACATTCCTGTACAAGCATTTGCTTGAATACTTGTATTCAGTTCTTTTGGGTGTATACCTAGGAGTGGACTTCTGGGTCATATGGTAATTCTGTATTTAACTTTTTGAGAAATTGCCAAATTATTTTCCATAGTGGCTGTACCATTTTATATTCACACTAGTAATATACAAAGATTCTAATCTCCCCATATACTTGTTGACTCTTATTTTCTTTTTTTAAATAGCTAACTATCCTAATGGGTATGAAGTGGTTTCTCATTGTGGTTTTCATTTGCATTTCCCTAATAACTAATGATGTTGAGCATATTTTCATTGTAGACATTTGTATATCATGTTTGATAATACATTTTTAATTGAAGCATAACATACAGAAAAGTGCATAAATCAAAAATGTACAGTTCAAAAAATATGTACAGTTCAATGAATTTTTTTTTTTTCTTTTTTATCCTCACCCGAGGACATTTTTCCATTTTTATTCAGGTAGAGTGGGAGGGAGAGAGAGGAACAGAGAGAGAGAGAGAGAGAAACATCTACGTGAAAGGAACACATCGAGTGGCTGCCACCTGCACAACCAACCAGGGCCGGGGACAAACTGCAACCGAGGTACGCGCCCTTAGCGGGAACCGAACCCGGGTCTCTCAGGACCACAGGCCGACACTCTAACCGCTGAGCCAAACCGGCCAGGGCAATGAATTTTTTTTTTTTTTAAATCTCACCCGAGGACATTTTTCCATTTTTTGTTCAGAGTGGGAGAGAGGGAGAGAGGGAGAGAAACATCGATGTGAAAGGGACACATCGAGTGGCTGCCTCCCGCATGACCCTGACCCAACCAGGGCCAGGGACAAACTGCAACCGAGGTACGTGCCCTTATGGGAACCGAACCCAGGACTCTATGGTCCGCAGGCCGACACTCTAACTGCTGAGCCAAACCAGTCAGGGCAAAAACTTTTTTCTTTTAATCCTCACCCGAGGATATGTTTTTTCTTAAAAATTAATTTTAGGCCCTGGCTGGTTTGGCTTTGCAGTTAGAGCGTTGGCCTGCGGTCCAGAGAGACCCGGGTTCGGTTCCCACTAAGGGCATGTGCCTCGGTTGTAGTTTGTCCCCGGCCCTGGTTGGGTCGTGTGGGTGGCGACCACTCGATGTGTCCCTTTCATGTCGATGTTTCTCTCTCTCTCTCTCTCCCTCCCACTCTATGTAAACAAAATATAAAAAAAAAAAAATTGATTTTAGGCAAAATAAGCCAATCAGAGAAAGACAAATACCACATGATCTCACTTATTTGTGGAATATAATGAACAAAATAAGCTGATGAATAAAATAGACCCAGAGATATAGAAAGGAGTACGGTTCAGACTGCCAAACCTCAGAGGAGGGGGGCAGGTGGGAGGGATGAGATGAACCAAAGAACTTATATGCACGTATGCATAACCAATGGACACAGACAACAATGCTGGGGTGGGATCGGGAGGAGGGTGTCTAGGGGGAAAAAAGGAGATACATCTGTAACAAAAATAAATTAATAAAAATTGCAAAAAAAAATTGATTTTAGAGAGAGAGGGAGAAAGAGAGAGAAACATCAATGTGAGAGAAATATCCTTTGGTTGCCTACTGTAGAAACCCTGACTGGGGATCGAACCCAAAACCTGAGTATATGCACTGACTGGGAATCAAACCTGCAACCCTTTGGTGCATGGGACAGCGCTCCAACTAACTGAGCCACTCAGCCAGGGCTAGCATCTTCATTTCTAACATTAGAGAATAATTTTGCCTGTTTTTCAATCATACAACATGTGCTTTTGATGTCTTGGCTTTTTTTTTTCTTTTCCTTTATTGATTTTAGAGAGAGAGGAAGAGGGAAATAGAAACATAGATGAGAGAGAACATCAACTGGCCACCTCCTGCATGCCCCCCATTGGGGATTGGGCCCACAACCTGGGCATGTGTCCTGACGGAGAAACAAACCAGCGACCTTTTGGTTCACGGGTCATCGCTCAACCACTGAGCCACACTAGCCGGCCCCAGCCGGCCTGGTGTCTTGGCTTTTTAAACTCAATATTATGTTTATGACATTCACCCACACTGTTAATTATACTTATAAATAGCTTATTTTCATTACTATATAGCATTCCACGTGTGAATGTAACATAATTCTAATGCTGACTGGAATTACGTAGGATCATCTCATTTCTCTGCTAAAATCCCTCCAACAGCTTCCATTGCACTTAGGTTAAGATCTAGTTTATGTACCCTGCTTTACAAAGCCTTGTGAAACCCGGTGTCGCCCCACTTCTTTAACTTCACCTCTTAGTCCTCTCTTCCTCTCCCACTTCTCTTGATCTACACTGACCTTTTTTTTCTGGTTGCCATTGAACAAGACAACCTTGTGTCCACCTTAGAGTTTCTGCCCTAGCCTTTCTTTCTGCTTGGCATGCTCTTGCCCCTTATTTTCACATGGCTATTCCCTTCTGGTAATTCAGTTTGCAATTTAAATGTCATCTCAGGCCATCCCCAACCAACCAATGTAAAATAACCCCCTAGTTACTCTAACACATTGCTTCAATTCTCTGCATAGCACTTATCACCGCTTGATTTTTTCTCATTATCTCCCCCTCTAGACTTCCATGTTTATCCTATCACTACTCTGTCACCAGTGCCTATTCTTTGTGAGCGCCTACTATTTAAGAAATAACCAGATAGCCCTGGCCGGTTTGGCTCAGCAGTTAGAGCGTCAGCCTGTGGTCCAGAGAGACCTGGGTTCGGTTCCCGCTAAGGTCACGCACCTCAGTTGCAGTTTGTCCCCAGCCCTGGTTGGGTCGTGCAGGTGGCAGCCACTCGATGTGTCCCTTTCACATCGAAGTTTCTCTCTCTCTCTCTCCCTCCCACTTATCTGAACAAAATATCGAAAAATGTCCTCGGGTGAGGATTAAAAAATAAATAAATAAATAACCAGATAACAGATAGTCTGTGAGCCACCTCTGTAACTTCGCTGAGTCCCTTCTTCACTCTGCAGTCATCCCTCGCCACTTCACACTTTGACTTCCGCGGCTTCACTGTATCATGGTATTTTTCACTTAAGTCAAAGCGCGAAGTGGCGAGGGACAACTGTGTATAAATAAAGAATCCTACTTTGCGGAAATTCAATCATCGTGGTAGAGTCTGGAATTGATTAACCGTGATAAACGAGGGCTGACTGTACTTACAATTTTGTTCATCATAGATTTTTTTGGCATTAATTTTTATTTTTAAAAACATTGCATTGAAATATTCACTTTTTTGCCATGGCTGGTTTCGCTCAGCGGCTAGAGCATCAGCCTGCGATCCAGAGAGACCCAGGTTTGGTTCCCGCTAAGGGCACGTACCTTGGTTTCGGTTTGTCCCCAGCCCTGGTTGGGTTGTGCAGGAGGCAGCCACTCAATGTGTCCCTTTCACGGCGATGTTTCTCTCTCTCTCTCTTCCTCTCTTTCCCTCCCACTCTATCTGAACAAAAAATGGAAAAATGTCCTCGGGTGAGGATAAAAAAATATAATAATAATAAAATAAAACGCCCACTCAATGTCATCAAACATTAAAAAAAAAGTCACTTTTTAAATTTTTGGTTGAAAGCATTACAGATGCCCTCCCTTTTTCCCCCATTGACCCGCTCCCCCCAACTCGTACCCCCCCGAAATATTCTTTATCTTGGCACCAGTCTTCACTCACTTCACCTGAGTCCCAGCCCTATACAGGACTATTTAATTCACTTTCTGAACCTTAGTTTCACAAATGTAAGATGAAGGGATTGGATTAAACCAGAGTTTCTCAATGATGGGGGATGAAAAAGAGAGAAGTTAGGCCCCTTTTAGGAGTATATCAGAATTTTCAAAGGAATGTGTGGTTCAGAAAAAGCATATTTGATATTTTATATGTGGAAAATTAAAAAACAGCTTTTAAGTTTCAAAAATATTTTTAAAAGGCACGAGATTTTTGTTTTTACCAAAAATGAGACATGAATTTATGATTATTTTTTATTTTTTTTAATCCTCACCCGAGGACATTTTTTCCATATTTTGTTCAGATAGAATGGGAGGGAGGAAGAGAGAGAGAGAGAAACATCAATGTGAGAGACACATCAACTGGTTGCCACCCACGCGACCCCTACAGGGGCCGGGGACAAACTGCAACCGAGGCACATGCCCTTAGCGGTAACTGAAGTAACATCTTAAACATTTACTATTTCTCAAACTATTTAAATTCATGTCCCACGCTGGCGGGTTTGGCTCAGCGGTTAGAGCATCGGCCCACGGACCAGAGAGACCAGAGTTCAGTTCCGATAAGGGCATGTGCCTCGGTTGCAGTTTGTACCCGGCCCCTGTAGGGGTCGCCCGTGTGGGTGGCAACCAGTTGATGTGTCTCTCTCACATTGATGTTTCTCTCTCTCTCTTCCTCCCTCTCTCCTTCCTGCTCTATCTGAAGATAAATGCAAAGAATGTCCTCAGGTGAGGATTAAAAAAAATAATAAGATGTTACTTCTGGTAGTACCCAATAAGTGTTTGCGGAAAGAAATGTAGCAGGTCCAAGTCTCATTGCTTTAACTGGACTAAATATTGAGTTGTAACAATTTTCAAAAGCTCTCCAATTCCTTAGCTGATAGTTCACCAGTCTGAGCAACAGTGAATTTAAGAGCATTGCAACTCAACAGAAGGTGGGGCAAGGTGACATGCAGCCATACTACTAGGGTTAGTGAAATTTCCTGGGCAGTCAAATCAGATTGGTGATGTCTTGCTGCCCTGGTTTACTGATGGAGTCCTTTTCCTCCTTCCTTCCATATCTGTCTTGCAGCCAAGATTGCATTTCTCTAGTACCTTGTCACCAGTGGTCCCTGGCTCAGTATTCCCTCCACTTAGGTTCTGGGCAGGAACCCCACAATGAGATTCCAAGCACCCATCCCGCTCCCAAAGACCATGGACATAGTTTTAAAATCAGGCCTTGAACTACATATTCCACAAAACACCTATTGTGTATCTAGAATAGGGCAAGGCATTGTGCTGACAGCTTGCAGGGAAAGGCCATCTTGCTCAATAGCGAGTCTCCTCCTATAAGTAAAATAGTAACAAAAAGTATATCCTTAAAGGAGGTAGGTTGGTGGTGAGCAAATATTCTCAGCAATAAAACCAAATAATGATGTTAGCGTGTACTGGCAGCAATTTACAACCTTTATTTATTTATAATGTACAACATTCATTCATTCATTCATTTATTTATTTATTTATTTATTTATTTATTTATTTATTTATTTCTCACCCGAGGACATTTTTCCATTTTTTGTTCTGATAGAGTGGGAGGGGGAGAGAGAGAGAGAGAAAAAAAAAACCATCTACGTGAAAGGGACACATCGAGTGGGTGCCACCAACACAACCCAACCAGGGCAGGGGACAAACTGCAACCAAGGTATGTGCCCTTAGCGAGAACCGAACCCGGATCTCTCTGGATCACAGGCCGGCACTCTAACCGCTGAGCCAAACCGGCCAGGGCAACAACCCTAATTTTTAACAAGTCACTTCTAACAAAAACTCTTCATCTGTACCTAGTGTCTACTTCCCAGTCCTTACGGGGGTAGAAGAGATGAAACCCACGTGGAGCAAATGGAGTTCTCCCCACCTGCTAGAAAGTTGCCTGGCTGCGGGTTGTTCTGCTATTGTGCAGATGCACCACAAAAGAGGAAGGGGAGAACCGGGAGCTAGGAGATGCTTAGGCGTCCTGGCCATTGCATGCAACTCAATCTACAACAGTTCAGACACTTTATTAGGCATGGAACCCAGCCCTTCATGACACCCTGGGCTCCCTCCTCTAGTTCCCCAGGCTCAGAGGAACCAATACCCGGGACCAGGTGGCCCTGAGGTGTCTTGAGTCGTTTCTGGGCAGTGCTGACAGGGCTCCGCCTACACACTCCCCTCTCCCCTCCTCCTAACACCCTGGCTGGAGCGGGTAGTGCAGGCACAGCGGGCACTCACCGGCTCCGGGCAACAACAGCGGCGGTAGCAGCAGCAGGAGGATGGAAAGCACCGGTAGCGGGTTCACTGGGCGCGCCATGGTGAGGTGCGCAAGGCGGTGTTCGCCCCTGGAGCGCTCTGCCAGCGCGGGCGCTGCACTCCCCTCACTCCTCGCAGGGGAGCCCTGGGAGCTGGGGGCCCGGGTCAGCGCCGCACTCCCCTCACTCCTCGTACTGGAGCTCTGGGAGCTGGGGGCCCCTGGCCGGCGCCTCCCACCGCTACCTCCGCCCCTCCCCGAGCGTGCAAGGCGCCAACTCCCCCACCACCAGGGTTCCGGGCGCCGCCCTCCAACTGGGAAGCGGACCTACTCGCTGCTTGTTATACCGGACAGAGAAAGCGCCAGGGTAGAGGCGAAGGAGGGCAAGTGCTCTGGGAGCCGGAGGGGCAAGGAAGACCCGTGCTCTATCTGAGCCCGCCCACCCGTCTTCTCTTGCCCTAGATATTGGGGGAGCTACCGCTTGAGACTCACCATCAAAAAAAGCACTCTTTCTCACTCCCCACCCCACTAACCACCAAGGAACAACCAACACAAATGAAATCTTGTAACAAAATTTGAACAAACCAGCACTAGGGCACTTGGATTTATATATATAAATATATTCCCCGCCCTCAAAGAATTTGCACATCTATGGTTTCATTTTTCCCTCAAAAGTATCTTTAAGGGTAATATTCAATATTCCATCACTGTCTTTAACCCCAAGTCTCTGCAAAGACGGGTCCAATACAGCTGGGAGCAGATCTGGTGCCAGATCCCAGGACCTGTGCCAGACTAGACTCCTTCAGGCCCTTCAGTATCATGAGGGAGGATGGAAGGATTAAACCCCCTTCACACTAAATAGCAGATATTTCCCTGGAAGAAAGACAGGATCACTGAGGAAGGTGGCTGGAGAGACGTTTTAGGGGGCTCATCATTTTCAGATGAAGTTTCAGAGAGCAAGCTATTCTCCCAAGATTAAACAACTAGGTAAAAACACAGCTGTGCCCAGAGCCCAGGATTTCTAACCATAAGGGCAAGGGTACTTACTGGCCTACTGCGGATTCCCACCTGCTCCCAGGGTAAACATAGAGGCAGAAGGACCTGAAGACTGAGAACTAAGCAGTGCTTAGAAAGAGAGAAAAAGGGGGTGATGAAAGGAAGTAGAGGGTTTCATCCTCTCACCCTCCAACCAAGCCCTCTCCTTACTTCCACAGCCCACCTGGCAAAGGGCCAGGAGGGAGGGTATTGAGAAGTGCAATATAAACCTCTGAGATTTATTAGCTGCTGGTTCTGAATATGGCCATCTTGCTGTAGCCTCTGGGGGGCATTTGCCAATGTAATCAGCCCAGAAAGAGAGTCATTCCAGCCAGGGGTGTACAAAGCTAGGAGAGAGACATGTGGGCCTAGATAAGGAAAGAGACTGATGTGGCCTCTTGTGCCCTTTCCTCCCTTCTCCCTTCCAGGGGGAACTGGTTCCGGAGCTATAATGCACTTTAAATGGAGTTTGTGCTTCTTTTTAATCTATATCTGCCCTGCCAGTCTTACAGGAGAACTGTGAAAGTGAACATCTGGCTACTCAGCTTTTACACAATGTTTATTTTCCCTCAGTTCCACCCTACCTTTAATTGTACCTTTCCCAAGCCCTCCCCTACAGTAAGTTTAGAAAACCTGTAGTGGGGAGCCCTCACTTTCCACCCCACTCTAGCAACAGTCTCAGAATGGAATTTACAAAGCAAAAGGCAACAATTTCAGGTGGTTGGGAAAAGGCTGAATCCTACAAATAAACAAAGATGTGGTGTGGTCAAGGTGTGTCATCTCTTCTGTCCCTCTCCTTCAGTAACAAAGCCAAATCAAGTTTGGGGTAAGTGGGTAGGTTGGTAAAAGGCAATTGTTCTGGGTGCCTACTGAAAGTGTCTACTCAATGCTATCCTCATGGAATGGACCAGGAAGGCAGGAACAAGGTTGATGGGCTAAGAGCAATGCCCAGTTCTTCCTATAAGAGGCCAGGCTTTTTGTGAGAGTAAATGAGATGCCTGGAGCATATTTCTGGGCACGGGGGTAGAGAGCTTAACATCACTGGGCCTTTAATGAGGACTGATAACCAAAGCTAGGGAAGGGTTGAGGAAGCCCCTACAAATAAATGTGACTCCCAGACTAATGTTAACTGCTCTTTTAGCATACCCTCTCCCCAATAAACATGTCATCTATGACTGCCAACATCAGCTAGATAAGAAGCATTGCCTTTGGGAATCTTGTGGATAATGATGAACGAGCCAGTCCTTTCTACAAAGACAATGTTATTCAGCCATCATTCAATTCAATAACGTCTTTTGAGACTGATTATGGGTCCAGCTTTGTGCCAGGTGCAAACATGATTCAGACACAAACCCGGTCCTGGGAGGCATTGCAACCCACTGATTGGGACTCCAAGGCCCAAAGATCCTGTATCTTATTCCACTTTCCTTATAACCTTGGTTTTCTGTTTTCTATCAAATCCCTCTCACTGTTAAGCATTAATTCCTGCTGCTACTCTAACCCATGATATTAGCAATATAGTGAATAATTAAGAACACAAACTCTACAGACTGCCTGGGTTCAAATGAAATTTCCAACACATGCTGGGTGACCTGAGCATGTCACTTGATTTTTCTGTGCTTCAGTTTTATCTGTAAAATTAGTAACAGTATCTAACTTCATATGTATAACAGTTGTGAGGATTAAATAGTAAATATTGAGCCCAGGCTGGTTTGGCTCAGCGGTTAGAGCGTTGGCCTGCGGTCCAGAGAGACCCGGGTTCGGTTCCCACTAAGGGCATGTACCTCGGTTGCAGTTTATCCCCGGTCCTGGTTGGGTCGTGTGGGTGGCAGCCACTTGATGTGTCTCTTTCATGTCGATGTTTCTCTCTCCCTCCTGCTCTGTCTGAACAAAAAACGGAAAAATATCTTCAGGTAAGGAATAATAATAATAAAATAAAATAAATAGTATATACTGAGTAAAGGGTTTAGCATAGTGCCTGACAAATAGCAAGCACTGAATAAAGTGGTATCATGCCAAGTGGCATGCAAACTTAACCTGCCCCTACCACCCGACTTGCTGCATTGAAGCGGGAGACCACATACAGTTCTCACTTTCGCTGAATATACTAGTAGGCCAGGGATGGAAATAAAGAGAAACATTTTCTACCTTGTCAGGTTTTTGTTGTTGTTGTTGTTGTTAATCCTCACCCAAGGATACTTTTCCCATTGATTTTTAGAGAAAGTAGAAGAGAGGGGGATATATATAAACATTGATGTGAGACACATCAGTTGGTTACCTCCTGGATGTACCACTACCCAGTATCAAACCTGTAACCAAGGTACATGCCCTTGATTGGGAATCAAACCCGAGACCCTTTGGTCCAAGGGCTGATGCTCTAACTGCTGAGCCACACCAGCCAGGGCAAATTTGTCAGTTTTTTGAGGGCCAGGACTGTGTCATATTTGAATATCTGTAGTACTTAGAATTGACAACCCCAGATATATGTTTAAAGAAATTGGTGTTTCCTTCACTTGCCTGACAGAGAATCCCACATGCCTCCCACTTTATACTCCTGAGAAGGAAAGAGAAATGTTCCTCCTTTCTTTTTTAAGTCCTCAACTGAGGATACTTTTCTATTTATCTTCAGATAGATTGGGTGGGAGGGAGAGAGAGGGAGAGAAGCATCGATGTGAGAGGGACACATTGACTGGTTGCCTCCTGCATGACCCTGACCAGGGCCATGGACAAACTGCAACCAAGGTACGTGCACTTGACGGAAATCGAACCCACAACTCATTGGTCTGCAAGCTGACACTCTAACCACTGAGCCAAACTAGTCAGGGCTGTTCCTCCTTTCTTTATGGCAGAGGTCAGCCAGGTCCTAGGTTGAGATTGACAACCAGAAGCAGTTTTTAGGCCAAAAAGTTTCCATGCTTTCTTTTTTTTAAATTAATTAATTAACTTTTGTTACAGATGTTTCTCCTTTTTTCCCCATTGAAACCCTCCTCCCGATTCCACCCCTCCCCAAGCATTGTTGTCTATGACTATTGGTTACGCATACATGCATATAAGTTCTTTGGTTTATCTCATCCCCCTCGTTTTTATGCTTTATTTGACTTCATGATGAATGAATACTAGTTGTGCAAGGATACTAGTACAGAACTAACCCCCTAGTCTTGTGCTGATGTCTGTGGGCTGGGGGTCTTAGTGTCTGCCCTTAGCCTAATCTCCCAAGCCCAAGCAACCCTTATGGCCCTGACTTCTCAAGAACCTATAATTGAGGCTTATCTGTTTAACACAAAATATAATGCTAACTCTAAAAAAGCACACTGTTATTTGATGAGGATTTGGTAATAGCAAAATCCATTAGAGATACAAACTCTGGAGCTATACTACCTGGGTTCAAATCCCAACTCCAGCCCTGGCTGGTTTGGCTCAGCGGTAAGAACGTCAGCCTGCAGTCTAGAGAGACCTGGGTTCGGTTCCTGCTAAGGGCACGTACCTCGGTTGCAGTTTGTCCCCGACCCTGGTTGGGTTGTGTGGGAGGCAGCCACTCAATGTGTCCCTTTCACGTCAATGTTTCTCTCTCTCTCCCTCTCCCTCCCACTCCATCTGAACAAAAAATAGAAAAATGTCCTTGGGTGAGGATAAAAAAATAAAATAAAATAATCCCAATTCCACTACTCATTAGCTGTGTGATGTTAAAATAAGTTAATTTATCTGTAAAACATGCATAATAATCAGTACGTGCCTCACAGAATTATGAAAATTAATTTAGTTTATAAACACACAAGTTCATAAAAAATCTGCATGCAATAAGTATCTGAAATGTGTTAGCTACTATTATTATTGTTCCTGAAAATAAAATGAATCAGATCACATGGTACCTATACAGTAGGAGGATGTTATAAAAAATGATATAGAACCCTGGCTGATGTGGCTCAGTTGGCTGGGTGTCATCCTGTGCACCAAAACATTGCCAGTTTGATTCCCGGTCAGGGCACGTGCCTGGATTGTAGGTTTGATCCCCAGTTGCAGTGTTTGCAGGAGGCACCAGATCATTATTTTGCTCTCATGTCAATGTTCCTTTCTCTCTAAAAATCAATAAAATACATAAAAAATTTTAATTACATGGGAAAACATTTCCTTTTAGGCAAACATAATTTTTCACAAAGTAGATAACTAATTAAGCCCTAGATTTTGGTTTTGTAACTCAGAATTTCCACTTATTAAGATTACTGAGCCCTGACCGGTTTGGCTCAAAGGTTGGAGCATCAGCCTGAAGATCAAAGGGTCTTGGGTTCAATTCCCAGTCAAGGTTCAATCTCCAGCCCCAGTCAGGGGTCATGAAGGAGGCAACCAATCAATGTCTCTCTCTCCCTCCCTCCCACTCTATCTAAAAAATCAATGGAAAAATATCCTCAGATGAGGACTAACAAAAAAGTTTTAAAAATAAAAATAAATAAATAAATGATTACTGAAATGGCCCTGGCTGGTGTGGCTCAGTTGGTTGGGCATTATCCTGTGCACCAAAAGGTCACCAGTTCAATTCCCAGTCAGGGCACATGCCCAGGTTTCAAGCTCCATCTCTGGTGGTGGTGGGGGGGGGGGGGGTGCAGAAGGCAGCCAATTGATGTTTCTCTCTCACATCAATATTTCTCTCTCTCTCTCTCCCTCCTTCCTTTCCTCTCTCTCAAATCAAAAACATATTTTAAAAAATTAGTGAAATGTGGACACAGGTGTACCAGTCTATTCACAGGTGGGGGTTTGGTTCTCTCTTTCTGGGGAGATTATCTGGAAATGACCCACTAGGGTAGGCAATGAGTCAGGGGCTCCTCCTCACAATTGAAAGTGTAGGTGCTTCAAGAAGTTTCCTCCTTGGACTACTAAGAGTTCTTGCTTGGTAGGGGTGTGTGGGTGGGGATGGGGCAGCAGCTTTTCTCTCCTTTTTTACTTCACCTCTTCTAGCTGAGTTCAAGGACTCAGGAAAGCCAGAGAGGTATTTCCCCTCTGGACAGACATACATTTGCTAGGAGTTGAAGCTGCAGGCTCCAGTGACTGGCTTAGAGAATACAGCAGTGCCCTCTGCTGTGAGGCATGCATGCCACACTCCTGAAGAACACTTGCAAACCTTGCAAAAATCAGTCCAGCTCTCCTTCCGCTAGCTTACTTTAATTAAAAAAATTTTTTTTTCTTTATTGATTTTAGAGAGAGGAAGAGAAAGGGAGAGAGAGATAGAAACATCGATGAGAGAGAACATTGATTGGCCACCTCCTGCATGCCCCTCACTGGGGATCAGGCCCACAACCTGGGCATGTGCCCTGACCAGGAATCGAACCGGAAACCTCTTGGTGCATGGGTCGACAGTCAACCACTGAGCCACACTGACGGGGCCCACTGGCTTACTTTTAAATAGGGCTGTATTGTCCTGGCTGGTTTGGCTCAGTGGTTGGAGCGTCGGCCTGCAGACCAGAGTCCTGGGTTCAGTTCCCGCTAGGGGCATGTACCAAAAAAATAAAAATAAAATAAATAGGGCTGTAAATCATTAAGCAGACAAAAGCCTATTTCCCCTTAAAAAGCCCTATGTAAAAGAAAATCTGGGATATTGATGAAGAATGTAGTTTAAAAGGTATTTCTTGCCCTGGCTGGTGTGGCTCAATTGGTTGGGCATCATCCCATGCACCAAAAGTTTGCCGGTTCAATTCTTGCTCAGGGCACATGCCCAGGTTGTGGGCTTGATACCCGGTAGTGGGTGTGCAGGAAACAGCCGATTGATGTTCCACTTCCACATCGATGTTTCTCTCTCACCCTTCCTCTCTAATATATCAATTAAAAAGAAAAAAAAAGGTCTTCCTTGCCGTGGGTGAATAGCTCAGTGTTGTCCTGATATACCAAGGTTATGGGTTTGATTTCTGGTCAGGGCACATACAAGAATCAACCAATGAATGCACGAATGAAAAAATAAGTGGAATAGCAATTGATGTTTCTCTCTCCCTTCCTTTCTCTTTAAAATCAATTTAGAAAATAAAATAAAAGGTTTTTCTTAAATCTAACTGATCTTTTTTAAAATTTTTATTTATTGATGAGAGAGAGGAAAGAAGGGGGGTAGAGAGAGAGAGACATATCAAGTTGTTGTTCCACTTATTTATGCATTCATTGGTTGATTCTTCTGTACCAACCAGAGATTGAACCCGCAACTTGGCATATTGAGATGATGCTCTAACCAAGTGAGCTACCTGGCCAGGGCTAAGTCTAACTCATCTTGCTTGGTACTTTATTTTCTCTTATTCCACAAATAAAAGAAATATAGCACAAATCTTTACTTCTCACCACTTTAAATCTAAACCTGTATTTGTGAGCTGTGAAGTGGAGTAGAGAAAATAATCTGGGAAATGGAAAAAGTCAAAAATCCATTGAGGCTGGCCCTGGCAGGTTTTGCTCAGTGGTTACAACATCGGCCCGTGGACCAATGAGTCACGGGTTTGATTCCAGTCAAGGACACATACCTCAGTTGTGGTTCGTCCCTGGCCTTGGTCGTGTGGGAGGCAACCTATTTCTCTCTCTCTCTCTCTCTCTCTCTCTCTCCCTCCTTTTCCCTCTCTCTTCCTCCCTCCCACTCTATATGAAGAGAAATAAAAAAATATCCTTGAGTGAGAATTAAAAAAAAAAGTCCAGAGGTTGTACACAAGGAACCTTTTGATCCAAACTGAACTTATCACTTGCCATAGAGAATGCCACTCCTATGGTTTTCTGAGCCTAGATACCACAGGGCTGAGTCTGAGGCACACTTTATTGTAACTCAAACCATGGAATGGTCTTTAGGAAAGGAAAGCCTGAACATTGCTGAAGAATGCACCTTAAAAGGTTTTTAATTCCAAAGCAGTGGATCTCAAGCCTTGGTGTGCATCAGAATCACCTACAAGGGAAATTTAAAACTCAGCTTTCTGGGCCCTAACTTCAAAAGTTCTGATTTAGTAGGTCTGGAGTGGGGCCTGAAAATTTGTATTTCAAACAAGCTCAGATGATGATGATGGTCCAGGGTCTAAACTTGGAGAACTATTAGTTGATCTAGAGGAAAGCACTGTGGTCTCAGCTCTGAATTAGAGATGGTTGGTTATACCTTTATGCCTGAAGGAATCTAATTTGGTGATCACTTCCTCATATAAATCTTCTAGGGGCAGACCAGACTCACAATCACAACTCTCATTCTACAATGTTTATTTTCCATTTAAGAAAAAGAGAGAGAGAAAAACAAAGAAGGAAAACACAGAGAAAGAAGGTGGACAATTCTCACATAAACATAAGCTCAGGGAGAGCAAGAAGCTGGATGGCTTGTGAGAAGACACAAGTAGAAACAGAATGCAAACACTCCCTGAAGCAATACACATCTCAATACAACCCAAGGCTACAGCTTGTAGAGCCAGCTCCAGGACTTCACCATCAGCCAGCAGCTCTGCTGAAACCTAACCAATTCCGAGGCCTGGGATAATATCACTTTGGCAGCCTGTTGGTTTGCAGATATCTTTTAACAATCTTGAGTTTAGCCACATAGAAGATGGCCTCTTTTTTTAAAAATATATTTTTATTGATTTTTTAGAGAGAGAAGAAAGAGGGAGATAAAAATATCGATGAGAGAGACACATTAATTGGCTGCCTCCTACGCGCCCCCCACTAAGGATCAAACCCACAATCCAGGCATGTGCCCGAACCAGGAATGGAACTGGTGACCTCTTGGTCCATGGGTCGATGCTCAAGCACTGAGCCACACTAGCTGGGTGAAGATGCCCTCTTTTTGCCCAGGGTTTCTAGTGTCTTTTGGTGACTCCTAAGGTAGCCAGCACCTATTATTGTGGGCTCTTCTCCTTCACCATTAAGGCAATCTGCTCCTGCAGCTGCCGCTTCCCTTCCCATGCTTTGTTCTGACTTCGACACCTCAGCAGTTCCGCCATATGGTCCTGGTGGTGCATGGGGCAGTAGCTCTGTGGTTCACACAGCACCTGAAAGGCCAAGGACAGAGTAAGGGATCCTCTCGGTTCCTGAACTCTGTCCACTAAGTATAATAGAGAGGCTGCTAGTAGTGGCTAAGAAGGAGCAGCAGTTTCTTCTCGTAGGGTCTTGCAGGCCCTAGGAGTTGCACACTAAAGTTGGTTCCCCCAAATCTGGTCTCCCCCATTGTCCCACATGCCCCATCCTTTACCATATATTCTGGAAAGAAGTCTCTATAGCCCCCTTTGAGGATATACAGCTCTGGGTAGTACAATGCAGGATACTGGTTCAGGGCCCTGTCTTCTTCTCTCAGAGAGCGGCACCTTTTGAAAAAACCCAGAGATGGGTAGGGTGAAAAGAAGCAAGGTCAGGATCCCATGGGCCACTCAATGGGAAAGGGAAGAAAGAACAGACTATTGCTAAATCCATAAGGATCTCCAGATATCATTATTTTTGCAAAACGAGACCTAAGTAGCACTTCTTTCTCCTTTCCTCCACTGGTACCTAATTCCCAATCCTTTTCCCCTTTTTTTTTTTTTTTTTGGTTGATCCTTACCCAAGGATATTTTTCCATTGATTTTTAGACAGTGGAAGGGAGGGAAGAAAAGGGAAAGAAACATCGATTGGTTGCTTCCCTCATGCACCCCAACCAGGCTGGAGATCAAACCTGCAACCCAGGTGTCAATTTCCTTGACTGGAAATTGATCCTGTGGACCTTTTGTCTGAAAGCTGATGTTCTAACCACTGAGGGAACTGGCCAGGGTACAATCCTTTTTCCTTTACTGCTCCAAATTTTTGAATTGTAGAATCCCCCTTATTATACCTCCCTACCATTCTTCAAACCTCAATAGAGAGCATGCATTCATTCAGTCTGTCTAAACTTGTCTGAGAAGGTTCCTTTGTAAGTCCCAACTCAAGCTGAATTTCCATCACCCACCCTACTCCTTGTAGAAACTCACAGTCGGGGACCCCTCTCTGAGGAGAATTCACAGTGGAACACGATGATTATTCTTTTCTGGGTATCCAAAGGGACAATAGGCGTCTTCAGAAAGAAGTTATATAGTTTTTCCTGACTGTACAAGTTTAAGGCTCCCTGTAGAAAAATTTTAATAAGTATTTCCTCAAGGGCCTACAGACAGTGCCAACACTTAGAAATACTTGGAATACCATACAACCTTGAGAAATTTGGGCCACATTTCTTGAGAAATTATAAGCACATTTCAGAGAAGAGATCTAATTGTATCTCTGTATCTATCCCAACGGCCTGGCACAGAGCATGGTATGTAGTAGTTGCTCAATCAATGCTCACAGAACTGAACTGTCTAAAGTGTGGGATTGTTGTGAGGAATGTCTATGTGCAATAAATGTTTGTAAAATGCTTCTCAGTCCTTGGATTAATGTTTTTATTTACACGTAAGAGTCTTTAGATCCTAGAGAAAAGAGGGAGATTGGTCTAGGAGGGAAGTGGAAAGTAAATTGCTCAAGGAATATAGAATTAGAATAGCAATGAAGACTCATAGCTTTGATGTGCTCCAAATGTATGTCTGCCCTGGTTCTAGAGTTCACAGGACCCTTTGTCCACAGACTCTTCTCAAAAAGAGCTACCTCCAAACTTTCTCCTGCTAGTGTCCCCAATGTAACCTCACCTGGATGTGTCCTCCCAGGTACTCATATGGATAGCGGCAATCGATGATATAAAACTTCTCAATCAGACCCTGGTATTTCCCAGACAGTAAGGCAGCCACCTGCACAGAAACTATAAGTGAATACCCTGCTCACTGTCACTCTGAAGGAGAAAAGAGCCAGTCACACAGTTTCTGATTTTCACTCCCTTTAGTCACCCAGGACTCCACTGTATGCCCAGCCTCCAAAATCCCCCTATTTTGAAATGTGGTAATGGTTCAGCCCCACACCACATGAGAGGGTGATATAGGAAGTGGCCTTTTTAGAGAACCAAAATAGCCGGTATTGCCAGGATACCAGGAAAAACCATTCTGAAGCTACTCATCTTGAGGCAGGCATGACGAATCAGAAGACACACACAGACTTCTGCAATGGCACAGGAAATAGCTGGAGATTCAGATTTTGAAAAAAGAGATGGAAAATGGTTCCCCACCCTCTGATATAAAGGGAAAAAGCAAGTCTTTTAGAAAAGAATGTAGAAGAAAAAGTCTAACACACAGAGAAGGAGACTTATGCTGTAGGAGTATAAATTGGTTCAATCTTTCTAGAGGGAACTTTGTAAAACATATAAAAATAAATGTAATTAACTTTGAGTCCGCAATTTCTTTTCTAACATCTTAAGTAAACAGAAAAGTACACAAAAATGTGACACAATACTATTCATCTCAGCATTGTTTTAGGTTGTCAAAATATTACAAATAAATATTAAATAATATGAGTTTGGTTAAATAAATTACAAATGTCAGTATAACAGAATATTATATAGTCATTAAAAGGATAACATAGACTTCTGCACAAGATGGCAGCGTAGGTAAACGTGGTATCACGTCCTCCCACAACCGCATCAAAGTTACAACTAAACTATAGAACAACCATCATACAAAACAGCCCGAAATCAAGCTGAATGGAAGTCCTACAACTACTGAATTAAAGAAGCAGCCACATCGAGACTGATAAGAGGGAAGGAGACAGACAGGCTGGTCCCACACCCGTGTGTGGCGAATAAAAATCAGGACACCTGGGAAAGTCCTCCCTGAGGACTGAGGGGTCCCCTCCCACACCAGGTGCCCCGCTCAGGGTTCCAGTGCCAGGAAGAGAAGTCCCCATCACTTCTGGCTAGAAAAACCAGAGGGAACTGAGGCTCAGGGAGGCTGAGGCAGCTGGAGCCCTAGGCAGCTCCTTAAAGAGCCCGTGCATGGACTTATCGGACTCACTCCCTCTAAGCTTGGAGGGCAGGCAGCTTGAGAGGTGCCAGAGACAACAGGGAAGAACTGAGCTGTTTGGCATTGGAGCGAGGGCTGGAGAGGGGGCTTTCTTTGGGACAAATATGCTATCAGAGGCCTCTTTGTTCCTTGGGTGAGCCCTTCCCTGGGGCAGCAGACCCCCGCCATATCTGAGACTCCAGTAACCTGGCTCACACTTTTGCCCCGCTCTGGTGATTCCCTGAGACCCAGCCCCACCCAACTTTTAGTCCCACCCAAGCTGTTGTCAGTTGCTTAACCATAGGATTGGCCTGTCTTGGATCCGGCTTCAGGTTTTCCTAAATTCTTTCAAACAAGCAGCATCTGGTGTCAGATAGCCCCATACCTCTCGTTAAGTAATACACAGAAACAAACACAGGGAGGCAGGCAAAATGAGGAGACAAAAAAACAGGTTCCAAATGAAAGAACAGAACAAAGCCCTAGGAAAAGAATTAAGCGAAATGGAGATAAGCAACCTAACAGATGCTGAGTTCAAAATACTGCTTATAAGGATGCTCAATGGACTTAGTGAGAACCTCAGCAAACTTAGTGAGGGCTTCAAGAGCATAAAAAAGGACCAGTCAGAAATGAAGGATGCACAGTTAGAAATGAAGGAGGCATTAACTGAAATAAATAATAATTTACACAGATTAAATAGTAGGGTAGGTAAAGCCAAGAAGCAAACCATCCATTTGGAATAGAAGGAAGCAAAAAACACCCAATCAGAACAGCGAAAAGAAAAAAGAATCCAAAAAAAATGAGGATAGTGTAAGGAGCCTCTGGGACAACTTCAAGCGTGCCAACATTCGCATCTTGGGAGTGCCAGAAGAAGAGAGAGAACGAGAAATCTATTTGAAACAATAATGGCAGAAAACTTTCCTAACTTGGTGAAGAAAACAGACATACAACTCCAGGAAGCATAGAGGTGAACAAGATGAACCCCAAGAGGCCCACACCAAGACACATCATCATCAAAATGCAAAAGGTTCAAGACAAAGAGAGAATCTTAAAAGCAGCAAGAGAAAAGCAGTTAGTTATCTACAAGGGAGTTCCCATAAGACTGTCAGCTGATTTCTCAAAAGAAACTTTGCAGGTCAGAAGGGAGTGGCAAGAACTATTCAGAGTGATGAAAGGCAAGAACCTACAACCAAGCTTATCCTGCAAAGCTGTCATTTAGAATTGATGGCCATATAAAGAGTTTCCCAGACAAGAAAAAGTTAAAGTTCATCACCACCAAACCGTTATTATATGAAATGATGAAGGGTCTTTTTAAAGAAAAAGATAAAAAATATGAACAAACAAAATGAAGAGGCAGAACAGAAACATTTTCATAGATACAGAGAACATTTTGTTGGTTGCCAGATGGGAGGGGGAATGGGGAATGGGTGAAAAAGGTGAAGGGATGAAGAAGTACAAAAACGTTGCTAGACTGACAAACCTCAAAGGAAAAGGGGTTGGGGGGTGGGAAGAAATAAACCAAAGAACTTATATGCATAACCAATGGGCAGAGACAACAGTGTGGGAAAAGGCAGGAGGGGGGCGGGAGTGGGGAGGAGGGAGCCAATGGGGGAAAAATGAGGAACATCTGTAATACATTCAACAATAAAGATTAAAAAAAAAAGGATAACATATCTCAATCTTTTTATTGATATAAATAATGCTTATAATATCTTACTAAGCTAATTGTAATGCTAAATATTCATCATGATCCTATTTTGATCAAACATATGACAGAATAAAATGCGGAAGGCCATAGGAAAATATTACTACTGCTTGTCTCTGGTGGCAAGATTATGGATAGAGTGACCAAATAATTATTGCACAAATGGGACACTTTTCAGAGTGAAAGAGAACAGTATTACTAATTACCCTGTACTAGTAGGCATAAATGAAATTATAACATGTAAACCAGGATGTAAAGTCGCTCAAATTAAGTGATTTTTCTTTTTTTTCCTTTTGGAGGTTTTACCTTTTAATTTTCCTTTCTTTCCTTCCTCCCTTTCTTGCCTTCTTTCTTTCTTTCATTTTTTCCTTTCATAAAAAGTATACATCATTTGTTTAATTTAAAATGAAGGTGATAGAAGAATGGGATATTTAGTAAGTCCTTTAATACAGCTTCAATTGAATAAGGAGTTTGTTGTGAACACAGTGAAAGAAATACAACTGGAAGTGGGGATTTTAGGGATAGAACAGACCAGATGGTAGCTTATATAACTAGTTACCATCTCCAGAAATCTGCTTACTGTTTCTGGGTTGATGTACTTCAGATCTTGGTGTCTCCCTGACACGGTTGGCAGTGCACATACCTAGAAATACAGAAGAGCTGAAATAACAGCAAGTTTTCTATATCCAAATTTGAGATCATATGCCCACATATTGTCCTTCTTTCCAAATGACCTTTAAACCCCCCAGATGCCTTAAAAAAAAAAAAAATCAATGATCTCTATAATGTGCATTCCATTTCTAAAAACTACAGTTCTATTTCTAAGAACTGATTCTAAGAAACTAATTAAGAATGTGTATAAAGTTTTGGATTTAACTACAACTATGTCCATCTTGGTATACTTCACAAGGAAAAATGATAAAATATTCTAGTAGAAGGGCTTTATCAAGAAATTATGGGTAGCCAAAAAATATATAAAATACTGTGCTGCTGTTAAAAGTGATGAAATGATGCCCAGACGGTATGGTTCAGTGGTTGAGCATCGACCCATGTACCAAGAGGTCGCCGGTTCAATTCCTGGTCAGGGCACATTCCCAGGTTGTGAGCCTGATCCCCAGTGGGGGGCATGCAGGAGGCGGCCAATCGATGTTCTCTCTCATCAATGTTTCTATCTCTCTCTCCTTCTCTCTAAAAATCAATAAAGAAAAAAAATTTTTTTAATGAAATGTATGAAGCAGAACTCTTTATTGACATGAAAAAATGTTCTTGATATAATAAATGAGGGGAAAAGAACCCCAACAGGACACAAAACAGTATAGTTTCTGTGGAAACCAAAAAATGTATTTGTGTGTCATATGTGTGCTTGTGAAAACACAGAAAAATGTCTGGAGGGATATACACCAAGATGTTAAAAGCACTTATACTCTGATAAGATTTGAGGTAGACCGCTGTTTCCTTATTGATTTTCTGTCTGGAAGATCTATTCACTGATGTCAATGGAGTGTTAAAAACCCCTACTATAAATGTATCACTGTCAATCTCTTCTTTTATGTCCATCAAGATTTGCTTTACATATTTAGGTGCTCCTATATTGGGTGCATAAATGTTTACAAGGGTTATATCCTCTTGTTGGATTGCTCCCTTTATCATTATGTAGTATCATTCTTAGTCTTTTACTATAACTTTGTTTTAAAGTCTATTTGTTAGATATAAGTATTGCTACCGCAGCCTATTTCCATTTCCATTTGCATAAAATATCTTTTTCCATCCCTCTATATTTTAGAGTATTATGCTTAGTAAATTAAGTCAGTCCAGAGAAAGACAAGTACCATATGATATTACTTATATGTGGAATCTAATGAACAAAATAAACTAACAAACGAAATAGAAATAGACTCAGAGACAGAGAACAGATTGACAGCTGTCGGGGGGGAGGGAGGGGGCCAAATGAAAAAGGTGAAGAAATTAAGCAAAACAACAACAAAAAAATCCTCATACGCACAAACAACAGTATGGTGATTACCAGAGGAAAAGGAGTGAGGGGAGGAAGAAGAGGGTAAAGAGGGTATAAATGGTGACGGAAGGGGACTTGACTTGGGGTGGTGAACACACAATATAATATACAGATAATGTATCATAGAATTGTACACCTGAAACCTATATAATTTTATTAACCACTGTCACCCTAATAAAATCAATAAAAAACTTTAAAAAGAAAAAGTTATAAAAAGCAAGATTAATTTAGTAACTAAAATGGAGGGGAAAAAAACTTTAATATTTTCAACCAATGTCATTATCAGACTATGGTTTTCAGGTTATTTAGGTGTGAGTTCATTCTTTGCATCAAGAGAATTCACTAGTGCCCTGGTCCGGTAACTGAGTTGGTTAGAGTATCACCTGATACCAAGGTTGCAGGTTCAATCCCTGGTCAGAGCACATACAAAAAGCAACCAACAAATGCATAAATAAGTAGAGCAACAAATTGATGTTTCTCTCTCTCTCACTCCCTTCCTCTACCTCTCTAAAATCAATAAAGAAATATTATTTAAAAATAACAATTAAAAAAAGAGAAAGACTTCACTAGTGATCTGCTCAGAGCCTAGCAAACTTCTTGTACAATGGTTTTTCTTAGGGAAAAGACAAAAGTAAAATAAGAATAACTTTTTCCAAGCAAGTAATTTGCTACATAGAAACAAATATGAGAAAAAAATACCTCTAAGGTTTTAAAAAGAGCTTTGACATTTTTCTGTTTGGAAATTCTAAAGATCAATTAGTTCTTTGGCAATTAATAGCCTTGACTTTTGTATTGGGTAAAGCAATATAGTACATGACACCTACATCGCCATTTATTTATTTATTTATTTATTTATTTATTTATTTATTTATTTATATCCTTACCCGAGGACATTTTTCCATTTTTTGTTCAGATAAGTGGGAGAGAGAGAGAGAGAGAGAGAAACATCGACATGAAAGGGACACTTCGAATGGTTGGCATCTACATGACCCAACCAGGGCCTGGGACAAACTGCAACCGAGGTACATGCCCTCAGCAGGAACCGAACCTGGGCCTCTCTGGACCGCAGGTCAATGCTCTAACCACTGAGCCAAACCAACCAGGGTTCGCCTATTATTATTTGACTGTAAAGTATTCCTACATTCAGAAGCTTAAAATTACAGAAAAAACACCCTTGCCAGTTTGGCTCAGCAGTTGAGCATCGGCCTGCGGACCAGAGAGTCCTGGGTCAGTTCCCGCTAGGGGCATGTATCTAGGTTGCAGTTTGTCCCCGGCCCAGGTTGGGTCATGCGGGTGGCAACCACTCGATGTGTCCCTTTCATGTCAACGCTCAACCACAGAGCCACATCAGCTGAGCTGTTTTCTGTAATTTTTTTTTTTTTATCCTCACCTGAGGACTATTTTTCATATTTTTTGTTCAGATAGAGTGGGAGGGGGAGGGGGAGAGAGAGAGGAAGGAAGGAAGGAAGGAAGGAAGGAAGGAAGGAAAGAAGGAAGGAAGGAAGGAAGGAAGGAAGAAATTAAGCCCGGCTGGTGTGGTTCAGTGGTTGAGCATCAACCTATGCACCAAGAGGTCACTGGTTTGATTCCCAGTCAGGGCACATGCATGCAGGAGGCAGTTAATCGATGTTCTCTCTCACTGATGTTTCTATCTATCTCTCTAAAAATCAATAAAGAAAAAGAAATTAAAACCTTCCATTTCATCTGAATACCAAAATTAATAGATTTTTTTCCAAAACTATAACACATGTAAGTAACTAGTGTTCTATTACTATTTTTCTAAGCAATATATCATTTTCTAAAAGTTATATATTCTAAAAGAAAGGAAGATGTTGATTATGAGTAGCCTACAAGACAAAAATGGAAATGTTTCATTAAGCTAAAGAAGTGGTAATAAAAGGGATAGCTTTCAAAAGTCCAGGATAGCATGTGCATTTTCATCTGCTGAGATTAGTTTTATGTGGCTAATGGAGTAATAATGTTTGCTTAGTAAACAATAACAACAATAAAAACAAGAATACAGATTCAAAGAAAGATCACATTAATGACTTTGTGGTTAAACAACTGAAAATGTTTATTTGATTTGTCTTTTTTTTTTTTTCGATCCTCACCCGAGGACATTTTTGCATTTATCTTCAGACAGAGCGGGAGGGAGAGAGGGGGGGAAGAGAGAGAGAGAGAAACATCGATGTGAGAGAGACACCTCGACTGGTCACCACCCACATGACCCCAACCGGGGCCCAGGACAAACTGCAACCGAAGTACATACCCTTAGTGGAAACCGAACCCGGGTCTCTCTGGTCTGCGGGCCTCTGAGCCAAACTGGCCAGGGCTAATTTAAACTTTTTAAAAAATTGATTTGAGCCCAGCTGGTGTGGCTCAGTGGACTGAGCATCATCTCATGGAATGAGAGAGGTCTCAGTTCAATTCCCAGTCAGGGCACATGCCCTGTTTTCGGGCTTGATCCACAGCCTATCGATATTTCTCTCTCACAACATCGTTGTTTCTATCTCTCTCCCTTCCTGTCTTTCTGAAAAATCAATAAAAACATATTTTTTTTTAAAAACTGATTTGAGCCCGGCCAGTGTGGCTCAGTGGTTGAGTGTCGACCCATGCACCAAGAGGTTGCCGGTTCAATTCCTGGTCAGGGCTAATGCCCAGGTTGTGGGCCTGATCCCCAATTGGGGGCATGCAGGAGGTGGCCAATCGATGTTCTCTCTCATCGATGTTTCCATCTCTCCCTCTCCCTTCCTCTCTCTAAAAATCAATAAAGAAAAATTAAAAAACAATTGATTTGAGAAAGAGATGTCTATTTATTGTTTCACTTATTTATGCATTCATTAGTTGTTTCTTGTGTGTGCCCTGACCAGAGATTGAACCCACAACCTTGATTTATCGAAATGATGCTCTAACCAACTGAGCTACCCGGCCAGGACCTAATGACCAAGTATTATTTTTATAATTTAAAAAGATATTTTTAAAATGTAAAAAGGTAATAAGCCTCATACTTTGCCCACCGTTCTGGATTTTCCCAGAATGAGAAGGAATACTTTCTCACTAGAAAGACTTAGGATCTAGATCTACTACTACAGCACCTTCAGGTTATTAGAGTGTACTTGGTGAGCATGCATAATTATACCTAGTGTCCCCTGGAAACAAAAAAAAAAATTCAGATCCAAAATGACTCATTGAAATATATAAAAGATGCACCCAATACTCACCTTGGAGAAATCACCAGTCAGGCACCCCGGGTTAGAACCTTCCTCCAGTATCTGAGTGGTATTTATGTCACACAGAGAGACTCTCTTGAGACCTAAGCCCTGGAAATGACAAGATTCTATTCACCCTCAATGCTCATATTTAAAGTTTAGCCCTGGCCGGTTTGGCTCAGTGGTTAGAGTGTCGGCCTGCAGTCCAGAGAGACCCGGGTTCGGTTCCCATTAAGGGCGCGTACCTTGGTTGCAGTTTGTCCCTGGCCCTGGTTCGGTTGTACAGGTGGCGACCACTCGATGTGTCCCTTTCACGTTGATGTTTCTCTCTCTCTCTCTCCCCCTCCCCCTCTATCTGAACAAACTATAAAAAAAGATGTCCTCAGGTGAGGATTACATAAATAAACAAATAAAAGTTTAAAAGTCAGGGGATGAAAGAAGTAGAGAATCATTAAAAAGTTGTATACCCTTTGTTCTAATAATTCCACCTGTTTTTCTAAGGAAATAAAGATATGCACAAAAAGTTTGAGTATAAGGACGGATATCTCAGCATGTTTGTGATAGAAAAATTATTTATAAATTAAATGTTCAATAAGCAGGTCTAAGTTAAACAAATCATATACCAGGTATTATAGATTATCATTATGCAATAAAAAGTATGTTGTAGACTAATTTCATAAACATGAAAATAAGTTCATGATATCATTAAGTAGGTTAGAAAAATACTTTTTTTTTTTTTATCCTTTTTTTTTTTTTTTTTTTATCCTCACCCGAGGACATTTTTGCATTTTTTGTTCAGACAGAGTGGGAGGGAGAGAGAGGAAGAGAGAGAGAGAGAAACATCGACGTGAAAGCGACACATCGAGTGGCTGCCAACCACACGACCCAACCAGGGCCGGGGACAAACTGCAACCGAGATACATGCCCTTAGCGGGAACCGAACCCGGGTCTCTCTGTACCACAGGCCGACGCTCTAACCGCTGAGCCAAACCGGCCAGAGCAGAAAAATACTTTGTAATACTACTTTAATAAAAGAAAAATATTACATAGAAATGTGTCTGGAAAAACATACATCCAGTATTAACAGCAATTATCTCTGGCCTGTGGGACTATAGGCATTTGCCACAACTTCTTTTTGTTTATTTGCATTTTCCATTCTATCATATACTTAGTTTATAAAATAGCCAAATACATTTAGATTTTGTTGTTGTTAAGGAAGGGTATTTTGTAAACTGAGAAGGCAACACCATTTCCTCATGGCCTACACACTCTCAACACACACAGGCACACTAATGTCTGCATCACTCTACTACTCTTGTCAAAGTCATCAACAATCGTCATGTGGCCACATCTAACATTCAGTCACTTCCTTTTTTGTTGTTGTTGTTAATTCTCACCCAAGGATATTTTTCAATTGATTTTTTTAGATAGAGTGGAAAAGAGGGAGGGAGGGAGAGCAAGAGAAGCATCAATGTGAAAGAGACACATGGATTAGTTGCCATCCACACGGCAGGGGATCAAACCTGCAACCTAAGTACGTGCCCTTAGCCAGGAATTGAACCTAAGTCCCTTCAGTCCTTGGGCTGACACTCTAACTGCTGAGCCAAACTGGCCAGAGCTAACAGTCACTTCTTTAGCTATACATTTTTCTGAACTTTACAGAGGCTTCCACTGATTTGGCTAATCCCTTCTTCCTTGGTTTCAATGGCAAAACCTTCTAGTTTTTTAGTTTAGTTTTAATATAGGTAATCCTTATACTAAAAGAACTGTGATGCTTCTACCTCTTTATTGCTCCTTTTCAGTCTTTCTTTGTCGGGCCTCCTCACCTATCAAATCTCTAATAGATGCTGATTCATCAGGGCTAGGTCCTGGTCCTTTTCTACCTCTTCACTCTTGCCATAGGTGACTTTTTTCCATCCATAAATTTAAATTTCTCCCCTATGCTGATGACTCTGAAATTTTTATCTCTAGTCAAGACTCTTACTTCCAGACTTCCATATCCACATACCTGCTTAACAATTTTTGAGTACCTACTAGGTGACATAGCAGTGAACAAGAAAGTAGAAGAGACAAATAAATATACTTTATATTTGTATGTAGTGATAAATGCTTTAAGTTAAAAATAAAGAAGGATAAAAATAATAGGGTTAGAAAGCTTATCATCAAATGCCTTTCTAATGACGTGATGTATGTGGAAAAATGAGACTGAAATGAGGGACAAAATCATGTCTTGCCTATGGGATGAATGTTCCAGGCTAAAGGAACAATAAATGCAAAGGCCCTTGTAAGAATGGCAAGATTAAAGGTGGCCACATTTAGTATGGCACTCTTAGCTCAAAAACTAATTGAAGCAATACTATAAACCAACTAAACGTAATATATATCAATAGAACACCAACAACAAAAGAATAAACATTCTTCTCAAATACACATGGAATATTCTCCAGAATAGACCATATACCATGTCATAAAATAAGCCTCAATACATTTTAAAGTATTGAAATCATACAAAATATGTTCTCTGATCACAATGGAATAATTAGCGATTAATAACAGAAAAAAAATCTGAAATATTCACAAATATGAGAAAATTCAAAAGCAAACCACTAAATAATCAGTGGATCAACAAAGATCATAACGGAAATGAGAAAATACTGAGATAAATGTAAATGAAGACATAACATACCAAAACTTATGGTATGCAGCCAAAGCAGTATTTAGATGAAAATGTATAGCTGTAAATGCCTATAATAATAATGAAAAAGAAAAATCTCAAGTCAATGAGCTAACCTTCCATCAAAGAAGAAAACTAAATCTAAAGTAAGCAGAAGGAAGGTAATAAGAAAGATTAGAGCAAAACTTAATGAAGTAGGGTCCAGCCAGTGTGGTTCAGTGGATTGAGCATTGTCCCATGGACTGAGAGGTCCCAATTCAATTTCCAGTCTGGGCACATGCCTGAATTGCAGGCTCAATTCCCAGTATGGGACACGCAGAAGGCAGCCAATTGATGTTTCTCCGTCTCTCTAAAAAAATCAATTAAAGCATATAAAAAAAAAAAGCCCAGGATCAGATGGCTTCACTGGTGAATTGTGCCTAACATTTAAAAAAGAAGAGTCCTGGCAGGTTTGGCTCAGTAGTTAGATCGTAGGCCGCGGATCAAAGAGACCCAGGTTCGGTTCCCGCTAAGGGCACGTACTTCGGTTGCAGTTTGTCCCCATGTGGGTGGCAGCCAGTCGATGCCGCTGTTTCTCTCTCTCTCTCCCTCCTTCTCTCTATCTGAAGATAAATGCAAAAGTGTCCTCGGGTGAGGATTAAAAAAGAAGAAAGAAATAAAAACCAATCTTTTTTTTTAAACCCTCACCCAAGGACATTCTTGCATTTATCTTCAGATAGAGCAGGAGAGAGAGAGGGAGAAAGAGAGAAAGAGAAACACCATAGATGTGAGAGACACACTGACTGGTCGCCAACTACATGACCCCAACTGGAGTCGGGACAAACTGCAACTGAGGTATGTGCCCTTAGCAGGAACCGAACCCAGGTCTCTCTGGTCCATGGGCCGACGCTCTAACCACTGAGCAAAACCGGCCAGGGCTAAAAACCAATTTTATACAAACCCTTCCATAAAATTGAAAAAGAGAATTCTTTCCAAATGATGACATTATAACACTGATACCAATACCAAAGACATTACAAGGAAAACAGAACACTAAAAATCAGTAATCTCTGCCCTAGCCGGTTGCTCAGTTGGTTAGTGTGTGGTCCCTATATGCCAGGGTTGTGGATTCAGTCCCTGGTCAGGGCATATGTGGGAGTCAACCAATGAATGCATAAATGAGTGGAATGACAAACTGATGTCTCTCTCTCACCCTCCCCCCTTCCTCTCTAAAATTGAAATACAATTTTTTTAAAAGACCAGTATCTCTCATAAACATAGATACAAAAATTCTCAACGAAATTAGCAAATCAAATGCAAAAAATATATATAAAAAGGATAATATACCATGACAAAATAAGGTTATCACAGAAATTAATGTTATTTTAACATTCGAAAATCAGTGTATTCACCATAGTTTTACCTTCTGTCTGGAATACCTCATTCCTCCTGATAACTGTTTATTTGACCCTGTTGCTTCAGATGTCTATTCAAATGTCACTCTCAGAGAGGTCTTCTCTAATTATGCAACCTATCAACTCCCAATCTATATCACCCAACCCAGATACTCCCTATTATCCTTACCCTGCTTTTTTACCATAGAATTTTTATCATCTGCCATATAATAAATGTATTTCCTTACTCGTCTGTTTGCTCCTGACTAGAATGTAAGCTCTGTGAGAAGAGGGACTTTCTTGTGTTGTTGTGGTTACTACTGTATCCTTAGCATTAAGTGAATGAATTAATAGGCATGTCCCATCTATTACCATTATCACTTATACCAGATTACACTGATGGTGATCTACTCAAGTACTAATTGGAACCTCTTTTTTTTTTTTTTATCCTCACTTGAGGACATTTTTCATTTTTTGTTCAGGTAGAGTGGGAGGGAGAGAGAGGAACAGAGAGAAACATGATGTGAAAGGAACACATCGAGTGGCTGCCACCCGCACGACTGACCAGAGCCAGGGACAAACTGCAACCGAGGTACGTGCCCTTAGCGGGAACCGAACCCGGGTCTCTCAGGACCGCAGGCTGACGCTTTAACCGCTGAGCCAAACCGGCCAGGGCTAATTGGAACCTCTTACTCAGCGGTAAGAAGAGTCCCATGGTGACCTAACACCCTATGGGTCAGGTAGCCATTGGAGTGTAGAGACCATGTCTTTTTTTTTTTAAAATATGTTTTTATTGATTTTTAGAGAGAGAGGAAGGGGGGGTGGGTAGACAGAAACATCCACTGGCATGCCTATTGGGGATCAAGCCCACAACCCGGGTATGTGCCCTGACCGAGAATCGAACCAGCAACCTCAGGGTACATGGGACATTGCTCAATCAACTGAACCACACTGGCCAGGGCAAGACCATGTCTTCTTGATCTCTGCAGACCTACCACTTAGTACAATGACTGCAACATATTAGATATGCAGCATTGTTCATTTAAGAATGAAGGAATGAAAAATGCAAAGATTCCATCAAAGAGCACTTTACCTTGGTCTCTTTTTGATCTTCCAGGGAAAAATCCATTAATTCATCTGAAATCTCCTCTAGCTGGTCTTTTCCTAGTGTTAGAGTTTTATCCAATCGTTGAATGGGACTGCCCAGATATTTCATTTCGCTTTCCACCAAGTTTCCATTGTCCTGCCAAGTATATTGACAATATTATAAATTATCCAGAACATTTACCTTATACCATATAAAAATTTAACTCAAAATGAGTCAAAGACCTAAACTAAAACTATAAAATTTTTAGAAGAAAACATAGGGGGAAAGCTTCATGACACGGGATTTGGTAATGAGTTCTTGGATATGACACAAAAGCACAGGCATTTCTCTTTTAAAATTGGATAAATAACTTCATCAAAATTTAAAATTTTTGTGTATCAAAGAACACTATCAGAAAATGAAAACGCAACCCACAAAGAAAAGAGTTACATTGATGAGAGAAATACAATGATGTGAGAGAAACATCTATTGGTTGTCTTCCGTACACTCCCCAACTAGAGGTTGAACCCACAACCCAGGTATATGCCCTTACCGGGAACAGAACTGGCAACCCCTTGGTACACAGGATAATGCTCAACCAACTGAGCCACTCCATCTGAGTTGTTCCACTTATTTATGCATTTACTGGTTGATTCTTGTATGTGTCCTTACCAGAGAACCGGCAACCTTGACATATAAGAACGATGCTTTAAACAGCTGAGCTATCCAGGCAGGGTAAGAGCGTCTGTTTTGAATGATAAAAAATTCTGGAAATGGGTGGTGATGGTTGTACACTGTGAATGTACTTAATGACACTGGACTGCATACTTAAAAATTGTTACAATGGGCCTTGGCCAGTTTGGCTCAGTGATTAGAGCGTCAGCCTGCGATCCAGAGAGACCCAGGTTCGGTTCCCACTAAGGGCATGTGCCTTGGTTTCAGTTTGTTCCCAGACCCAGTTGGGGTCGTATGGGTGGTGGCCAGTCGATGTGTCTCTCTCACATTGATGCTTTTCTCTCTCTCTCTCTTCCTCCCTCTCTATCTAAAGATGAATGCAAAAATGTCCTCAGATGAGGATTAAAAAAAAAAACTGTTACAATGGTAAATTTTATTTTACCACTTAAAAAATTTGCATATATATATATAAAAGACTATCCAGTAATTTACCATGCTCCAAGTCTTCTCTTCCTCTATGAAATAAAAAATCTGAAACATGATCAATTTACCTACCTAGGATGAGATATGTTAAAATGGTTTTCCCATAGGGTTAAGTTTAAAATCCAATCTCTGAAGTATCTTGAGTTCATGGTCTACTAAAAGTAAGTGAATGCCTGGGTAACTTAAGACTCCAATAGCCAGCGCTAGCCAGGTAGCTCAATTGTTTAGAGAAGCGTCCTGATATGCCAAGGTTGTGGGTTCGATACTAGGTCAGGGCACATACAAGAGTCAACCAATGAATGCATGGATAGGTAGAACAAAAGGTTAATGTGCCCGGCCGGTGTGGCTCAGTGGTTGAGCATCGACCCTGCACCAAGAGGTCACCGGTTCGATTCCCAGTCAGGGCACATGCCCAGGTTGTGGGCCTGATCCCCAGTGGGGGGCATGCAGGAGGCGGCCAGTCGATGTTCTCATTTATCAATGTTTCCATCTCTCCCTCTCCCTTCCTCTCTCTCTAAAGTCAATAAAGAAAAAAAAAAATTAAAAAAAAAAAAAAAAAAGGTTAATGTTTCTCTCTCTCTCTCTCAAATCAATACATGAAAATTTTTTTTTTAAAAAAGGACTCTAGTCTGGCTGGTGTGGCTCAGTGGTTGCACATCAACCCACACACTTAGAGGTCACTGGTTCAATTCCAGGTCAGGGCACATGCCCAGATTGTGGGCCAAATCCCCAGTTGGAGGCATGGCATGCAGGAGGCAGCCAATCGATGTTCTCTCTCATCGATGTTTCTATCTCTCTCTCCATCTCCCTTCCTCTCTAAAAAAATAAAGAAAAAAAATTTAAAAAAACAAACAAACCAGGATATAAGGTTATAAATATGATATGAACTCAGTTTTGTATAACTGTACACGTATTTAAAAGATTGAAATGAGGTAAAATGTTACTTAGTGCTTTTTCTTTATAGGTATTTTCTTTTTCATATTTTCCTATTATTTTAAAATCATTTTCACAATAAGCTCATAGTACTTTTTTAAATTGGGGGAAACACTTAAAGAATAAGGTAGAAGCCCTGGCCGGTTTGGCTCAGCGGTTAGAGCGTCGACCTGCGGTCCCGAGAGACCCGAGTTCGGTTCCCACTAAGGGCATGTACCTTGGTTGCAGTCTGTCCCTGGCCCTGGTTGGTCATGCGGGTGGCAGCCACTCGATGTGTCCCTTTCACGTTGCTGTTTCTCTCTCTCTGTGTTCCTCTCTCTCCCTCCCACTCTACCTGAACAAAAAATGGAAAAATGTCCTCGGGTGAGGATAATAAAATAAAAAAAAAAGAATAAGGTAGAAAATTTTAAAGAGGACTAAGAACTTTTCTCCTCCTTAAATTTAAACAAATTAAAAGATCAGAGGACATACATACCTCTCCTCCCTTTCCCCACGCAAACATTACTTCTCCAACCCCTTTTCTCACTCAAGCCAGCTTAGAAAAATTCAAAGGGTCATAAATCCAGATCTACCATCCCATCCCCTACAACATCTCAGCTGACCCTTGATGACGATGTCCAGTGACTCACTAGCAGAGAAAGGGGAGACATGTAAGACCGCTCTGATTTCTTTTGAAACTTCAGGTTCCTGGGTACACACCATTTCAAGGACTTCAAAGTGCTGTTTTCCTGCACAAGAAAAACTACATTGACTGGAAGAAGAGAAGTATCAGTAGGCCCTGCCAAAAACATTGCATCTGATGAAGCAATGAATAACCCTCATGGAACACATTAGATGTAATCAAGGTTGACTCTACATCCTGAAGATACAAATTATGGTTTGGATTTTATGTACATTATGTAGATTTGCTTTGGAGGATACTCATTTTATGTTCTTAAGCCAAAGGACAGAAGGAAAAAGGGAGCCTAACTGAGGAGGAGGTGGTGAGATGTTTAAGTGAGTAAAGGGTCTGGCCGGTGTGGCTCAGTGGCTGAGCATTGACCCATGCACCAAGAGGTCTCCGGTTCGATTCCCGGTCAGGACACATGCCCAGGTTGTGGGCCTGATCTTTGGTGGGGGGCATGCAGGAGTCGGCCAATCGATGTTCTCTCTCATCGATGTTTCTATCTCTCTCTCTCTCTCTCTCTCCCCCCTTCTCACTTCCTCTCTATAAAATCAATAAAGGGGAAAATTTTTTTTTTTAAGTTAATAAAGGTAGATTACAAGGACAATATTAGATTTTTTTTTTAAATGATTAGAACAGCTGAAAACATAGGCATAACTTAGTTAATGTGAGTAAAGGAGAACAGCAGCTATGGATGCTGAGCTGGAGGAAATGGTGGGAGGCAGGGAAAAGAAAAAGATGGCTAGAAAAAAGAGATTAGCTGGAGGGAATAGTTACAGAATTATCTTAGTGATTAGGCAGCTCTGGAGAGTTCAGTTTCAACTTGGAACTCAAGGATGCCCTGAAGCTCAGACCAAAATGGACCACAGCTTTCTCAGAATAGGGACTAAAAAGCTAGATTAAAGGAGAAATAAGAAATTAAGAATTCTAGACTTTTATGTGAAACCATGCGAATAGTCTGTGAACAAGTTATGTACATTACCCCTATCTGTTTTTTAAAAATTCCTAAATTCCTTAGACAATAGTGACAGAGATTGTTGTCCTTAAACCAATCAACTGAATATGAGTATTATGATGGCCTAATGTGCACAACTTAGAGCTAGGTTTCTCTTTTAGGGTCAAACCTCAAAGAGAAAAAAAGAAAACAAACCGTAAAGACCTTTTTTTCCTATAGCAATGCTGTTTGTCTAGCATACTGAGGCATAACAAGCTCAAGGTCTCATGCTACTGATGACTCACTCAAAGAAAGAAAACTGCTAATGTATCTAGGTTTCCATTAAACACTCACATTTTCTTTATTTGTGGATGAGCTACACATCGCATCTTTCTTCTTGTTGCCATGGCCCAAAGCCTTTGGAGTACTACAAAGCAGCTGTGCCTACAAAGAGATGGTTTTCTGAGAATATCCAGCAACCTCCAGCCACAGGTAAGCTGGAAACACTCTGTCTTCACCTGAGAAACAAACTCAAATCCAAGAAAGAGGAGGTACTCACTGGACTGCATCTTATATGGTGCTGGTGATGATTCCTGCAAGTCAAAAAAAAAAAAAAAAAAAATGCCAGTCAGTTTATCCCCAAATACTGTTTGGTTATTCATCACTAGTTTGGGACATCTTAACTTTTCGTTTCTTGAATTCTAGGATCCCTATTCTAGGGAGACCTAGTATATGTCTCTTCCAATAACAATACATAACATGCTCTCTGTGATAAATATTAAGATGTTGAGTGACATCTTGGAGTTAAGGCCCTCATTTTACTTGCGTAACCATATGTATATATCCATATGCATCAAAAATGATGTTTGTCCTATATCTTATGTAGACACAATTTATGATTTACTAATTTTCCAGACTATTGAGGGCTAATATTTAGTTTTTATGAATTTCTATTACCCCTCCCTGGAAGTCATTTGGTCTACATAGGGTTTTTTTTTTTTAAATCCTCACCTGAGGACATTTTTGCATTTATCTTCAGATAGAGCGGGAGAGAGGGAAACATCAATGCGAGAGAGACGCATCGAGTGGCCGCCACCCACACGACCCCAACCGACCCCAACCGGGGCTGGGGACAAACTGCCCCAGCGGGAAGTGAACCCAGGCCTCTTCAGTCTGCGGGCTGATGCTCTAACCGCTAAGCCAAACCAGTCAGGGCTACATAGGATATTTTAAACAATTCAAAGAAAATACAAGCAATATAAAGTGAATTTTTCCATGTATTGATAAAAATAGTCATGAAAAGCCTTTCCTAGTGCACTAAAGCAGCACCTAATTCACCTAAACATTGAAGGATAAAGTTCTAAAATGATTAAAACAGCCCAGCCAGTGTGGCTCAGTGGATTGAGCATCCTCCCATGGACTGACATTTCCCGGTTCGATTCCCAGGTTGGCCGATCAGTATGTCTCTCTCACATTGATGTTTTTCTCTCTCCCCCCTTTTCCTCTTTCTATGAAAAATCAATAAACACACACACACACACACACTTTTTTATCCTCACCCGAGGACATTTTTTGCATTTATATTCAGATGGAGAGGGAGGAAGAGAGAGAGAAAAACATCAATGTGAGAGAGACACATCGACTGGTTGCCACCTACACAACCCCAACCAGGGCCAGGGATGAACCACAACTGAGGTATGTGCCTTTAGTGGAAACCGAACCCGGAATTCTCTGGTCCGCGGGCCAACACTCTAATTGTGGAGGCAAACTGGCCACGGCATTAAAAACATATTTTAAAAAAGATGAAAACAGCCCTGGCCAGTTTGGCTCAGCGGTTAGAGCGTCGGCCTGCGGTCCGGAGAGACCCGGGTTCGGTTCCCGCTAAGGGCACGTACTTTGGTTGCAAGTTTGTCCCCGGCCCTAGTTGGTCGTGCGGGTGGCAGCCACTCGATGTGTCTCTTCACGTCGATGTTTCTCTCTCTCTCTCCCTTTCTCTCTCTCCCTCCCACTCTATCTGTACAAAAAATGGAAAAATGTCCTCGGGTGAGGATAAAAAAAAAAAAAAAAAAAAAGATGAAAACAAATAGAAAACTTACAATAAGTTTAATAAGTTGAATTAGAATTATTTTTCATCCCTTGAGTATTCCCTGACTGAACACATCAAGATCTCCAACAAAGAATCTTCATGAATAATAATAATAAATAATATAAAATGCTTTGGCAGGTGCTGCTAAATATTAAATGAAAATTTAATCTTTACAATAGCTGTTTATAAGAAGTGCTATTATCTCTATTACTGTCATTTCTTTTTTTTTTTATCCTCACCCGAGGATGTTTTTCCATTTTTTGTTCAGATAGAGCGGGAGGGAGAGAGAGGAAGAGAGAGAGAGAGAAACATTGACGTGAAGGGACACATCAAGTGGCTGCCACCCGCATGACCAACCAGGGCCGGGGACAAACGGCAACCGAGGTACGTGCCCTTAGCGGGAACCGAACCTGGGTCTCTCTGTACCGCAGGCCGACGCTCCAACCGCTGAGCCAAACCGGCCAGGGCTGTCATTTCTTTATTATTACTTTTTTAATCCTCACTGGAGGATATTTTTGCATTTATCATTAGATAGAGTGGGAGGGAAGGAAGAAGGGAGAGGGAGAGAGAGAGGGGGAGAGAGAGGGGGAAAGAGAGAGAGGGAAAGAGAAAGAAAGACCGATGTGAGAGAGACACATCGACTGGTTGCCTCCTGCATGACCCTGACCAGGACTGGGGATAAACTGCAACCAAGGTACATGCCTTTGACTGGAATCAAACCCACGTCTCATTAGTCCAAGGGTCGATGCTCTAACTGCTGAGCCAAACTGGCCAGGGCCAGGGTGTTTCTTTTTTTTAATTTTTAATCCTCACCTGAGGACATTTTTGCATTTATCTTCAAACAGAACAGTAGAGAGAGAAGGAGGAAGAGAGAGAGAAACATCGATATGAGAGACATCAAGTGGCTGCCACCCACACGACCCCAACTGGGGCTGGGGACAAACTGCAACCGAGGCATGTCCCCTTAGCGGGAACCGAACAAGGCCCTCTTTGGTCCACGGGCTGATGTTCTAACTGCTGAGCCAAACCAGCCAGGACCCAGGGTGTTTATTATTAATAAAGAAACTGAGGTGCAGTGAAGTTAAGAAACTTGTCAGTCACAGTTGGTGAAGTAGTAAGCCAGTGGAATCCAGACACTCTGATTCCAAAGCCTACACTATGCACTTTTAACCAGTAAGATATAGCACTACTCACATGCAGGTTAACAGCCTATTTCTAAGTGCAGTATACCATTTTCCTTTATTTTTAAAGCTTGTGTGTGATGGTTAAAATAAACAGCGTTCATTTTCACAACACTCTAGGAAACTTAAGAACCTTTCAAGGGAAGGATTTGGCCTCCAAAGTGAAACTCTGCAGAGTTTGTGTAGGATAAAATCCCTGTGCCAGTGCTGAAAAGCTTTAGCATGAGGTTCATTTAGCAAAAGAATTTACCTCTGAGCTAACTGTATTTCCTGAGGTCCTGAAGAGTCCAAAGGACCTGTAATCAGAAATATTATTTTTGTTCATGCATCCTTCTGATTTTCTTCATTACCAGTAAGCCATATTAATTTCAAAGCTAACCTTCTGAACACAAAGGCTCTTGATAGCCACCAATTTCATGGTACAAGGTATAAGTTAATAGAATCTTACTAATTTACATGTATCACTGAGAGATAAACTGCTGGGAAACAATGCATTAAGCTACAGATTTTTTTCATGAATAGAAAAGAATGCTTATCACTCAGGAAATCTGAAATTAGGGCAAATACTAAAATGGCTGACTAATAAAACATATTCCTTTAGGGCTCAGACCCTATAAAAACAAGAATTAGTTGACAAAGTATTTATTTATATTGGTTTCTTTGCCTCTGTTGATGTTTGACTAGGTCATAAAACTTATCTGAACTACTACTTTCATTTCCGTCATTCAGTGAGTTTCAATTCATGTCATCAAACAGTCAACAATATATTCCTTCCTGTCTAAAAATGTCAAATGTAGTGAATCCTATTAAAGTTATTATTTTTCTCTTCCCATTGGCTTGATCATTCTCCTCAAAAATCCTATAGGTACCCACAGAATTCCAACTTAAAGGCTCTCTACCTACTTTTACTGCCTTCTATGTCTATCTTACTACTCTGACCTGCCCCTTAAAAGTTATTCTTTCCCTTGAAAGCTTCACCTCCCCTTCTCCCTACCAGTTCCGTCAAGGTTTGCAGGAGTGGTAAGCTGAGTGGCAGACATCTCCCCACTGCTAAGATTCGAAAGATCAAGGCAATGTTTTGGGGTTCCTCTGTTGAGACATAACAGTACATCAATATTCACATTCGGGTGTAACGTCCTTAAAAAGCAAAGATCACATCACCCTCAATTTGAAACACACCTCAGTGATTATGACATAATCTGAACAGTGTCCAAATAAATCCAATTGCTTTTGGAAATATTTCAGACTGGGTTGAGGAGAATCTCCCCCCTTTTCTCTCCTCCAATAATCTGTACCTAATTTTCTCCTCACCAACATATTGAGAGTAACTTTTTTTTTTTTTTTTAATCCTCACCCGAGTACATTTTTCCATTTCTTGTTCAGATAGAGTGGGAGGGAGAGAGAGAGAGAGAAACATCGACGTGAAGGGACACATCGAGTGGCTGCCACCCGCACGACCAACCAGGGCCGGGGACAAACTGCAACCGAGGTACGTGCCCTTAGCGGGAACCGAACCCGGGTCTCTCCAGACCGCAGGCCGGCGCTCTAACCGTTGAGCCAAACCGGCCAGGGCGAGAGTAACTTTTTTTTAATTGAGGACCAAAGTTGCCTGACTGAGGTGGGTCTTGACCGCTCATCCTCTGCCCTGTTAATAAGGAGCACACATACTGATTTCTCCATGGAGTCTCTAGTACTTCTCAAGTCTAACTGTCCTACTTTGCCATCTGAGGCATTAGGGCATGGAATGGCCAAGATTTAAAGTACAATAACACTAAAATACTAATAAAGTGACCAACTCATATAATGCAATAGAATTTTCAAAGACTTTTCCCAGACATCACATCATTTGATTCTCACAAGATCCGAGTAAGATAGGAAGAGAATGTTTCTATGTCACAGAAAAAGAAGACTGAGAGTCAAAGGGTCACATGGTTACTTAAGGGCTAAGACTTGAACTCAGATCTTTGAGCCAGGATAATTGTTTTAAAGACTTACAAACTGTTTAGAAAAGCAAAGAAGATAAGGTATGAAAGGTGGATTTACCCAGACAAAATGCTCAGGTTTACAGAATCACCAAAAAGTTTGTCCACTGGAGTTCTAGGGAGATCTGGATAGATGGTAAAGGAAGAATCTCTCTCCAGGAGCAGGTTTAATATCTTCCTCTGATGGGACCTAAAACTGGGTCCTGTTCCTGGACTTCCCTCCTCTCTTGTGGATAAAATGAATTCTGCAGACATAGTCTCCGAGTACTCACTAAGAAAAACAAGTAAATAAAACCTAGTGTATAGGCACATCATCACGGATCGTCCAGCTTTCACACCCTCCCCAGCCTTCCCAGCTGCGGCCAGGTAGATCAGTATTGGCGGATGGGCCTCCCCAAACGATGACTCACAACTTGGCTTGAAAGTTAAATCGCACTTGTCTGAAGCGACCTAGCCTTTCCGTTGGAACCTGAACTTTCCGAAACCCCAGCACTTTAAAACGGAAATAAAAAGGTCAAATTTAACTTGTTCCGGGCCACAGCTCTGGACTCCTGACCCGAAGGAACTCAGGTCTCCTAACTCGCGACAATACCTTAGATCCGCTGAACTTCCGTTTGTGGAGCTCTGACCGGACCCTGAGAGGAAATGGGTCTCCGAGATTCCCGCAGAGATGGCTCGGGTCTTACCTCAGGTTTGAGTCTGAGGTTCACCTTCAGGAGAAACGAAGTGGGTGGAGGTCGGTCACAAGTAAAGGCTTGAACAGAACTAAAGGAAATCTGGGGAAGGGAGGCATTAACCAGACTACAATTTTGATTCTCGACTGGCTAGGCCGGGATCAGACTTGACCGCTTCTCTCCTCAGGGGGTCGAACTTACAGCTTCGGAGCAGAAATACCAAGTCACAGGCCTTGACCATTCAAACCTTCCGCCCTCCCAAATAACCTATCCCGTTCGCCTCCAAGCTGCGTCAGCCAATCTCCACGCGCCCGTCCAGAGCCCTCTCAGCGGCTCTTTTGACTTGTACTTAACCCGGGCGCGTGAGCTTGCGCAGGAAAGGGCACAATTTGCCCCGCCCCGGAGCCAGAGCTGGATGCCGATTGGCCCACCAGCTTGGGCAAGCTGCTTAGAAAGTAAGCCCCGCCCCACACGAGCCTGGCGCGCCATTGGCTTTACCTGTGGCCAATCGCCTCACCCTTCCTGAGTTTTCGCTTCGCTCAGCTCGTCCGACGCCGGGAGATTTAAATCGCACCTCGCTAGCGCTGTCCAGTTGTTAAATAAATACCTAGAGGAATTAGATTAGGAGGGTGTTCTGGACGTTTTCCCCCCCCTTGCTTCTTTCTCGTGTATTATACGGATTTTTCGTTCTTACTTTGCTAACCTTCCGCTGGAGATGGAGCATTTGCCCTGGGTGTGGCAGATGCTGGGGCGAGATAGGTGTGTGTATTTACGCTAAGCGGCGTTGGCCCCTTGCAAGAGCTTTCCTAGTAAGATCTCCTTTTAGCGCGCCGCATCTCTAAGAGGCTAGGTTACGTGAGTAAAGGAAATTCATTTTCAGGAAAAGCAGGGGAGTTGAATTATCTCTTGGCATAATTCTTATTACAACCCAAAGGATCTGAAAATTTGGTTGTTAATGGAAATTTGAACATTAAGTGATATTAATAATTTCTTTTTAATTTGGGGGACTTGCTTTTAAATAATCCTGAGTGGTGGTGGGTATAAATGAAACAAGATTGGTCATGAGTATTGGGTGGTGGGTAACTGGGGGTCCATTATATCAGTGTTCTCAAACTTTAATATGTATACTAATCACCTGGGGATTATTATTTATTTATTTTTTTTTTGGGGGGGGGGGTACGTGCCCCTAGCAGGAAACGAACCCAGGACACTCTGGTCTGCAGGCCAATGCTCAACCACTGAGCCAAACCGGCCAGGGTGGGGGATTTTTTTTTTTAATGCAAATTCTGATTCAGTAGGTCTGGGTTGAGGCCCAAGATTCTTTTGTTTGTTTTTTGCTCATCCTCACCCAAGAGAATTTTTTCCATTTTTCCAGAGAGAGTGGAAGGGAGAGGGAGGAGGAAAGAGAGAAACATCAATGTGAGAAAGACACATCCACTGGCTACCTCCCACCCCAACCGGGGCTGGGGATTGAACCTCCAACCCAGGTACTTTCCCTGGACCAGGAATTGACCCCAAGACTCTTCAGTTCCGGGGCTGATGATCCAACCACTGAGCAACACCGACTAGGGTGAGGCCCAACATTTTTTACTTCTAACAAGCTCCCAGCTGATGCTGATGCAGGGACCATACTTTGAGTAGCAAAGCATTATGCTATTCTCTTTACTTCTCTGTATATTTGAAACTTTCCAGAATAAAAAATGTTTAAAATAACCTTGGAAGCTCTTTAAAATACAGGCCCCCAAAATGATGATTCAGTAGGTCTAGAATGGGGCCCAGGGTTTATCAAGGTCCCCAGGTGCTACCCGTGCAGATGGCTTGCAGACTACACTTTGAGAAACAAATCAGAAATGCAAACTTTATCTTTGAAAAACAGAAATATAACCTTATCTGGTGCAATATCTTGGTGGTAGTGGCTAAGACGTGCAGTGTAGTCAACTGGGTATTGTCCTAATACCCTTTTCATCTGTAGAATTTGCTTCCCCAGAAAGGAGCTGTGTGAGGAGTCTTTGCCCTGTAGGATAGAGATGGTGAGTGTGGGAGTCAGCACTGAGCCCTACCATACCAGGTGAGTTTGAAAATCAGGCTGGGGATTAAGGGAGTGTGGGATGAGTTGGTTTCTGCTTTGATAACTTAAAATCACACTTCATGCAGCCAGTATATACTTCCCGCAGGTGGGAGGTAGAGACAGATGAAACTGTCTTACAGCGGCGGCAAAAGCAGATAGATTATGGCAAGTGCACACCTGGTTACCAGTGCTTTCTGCAGCAGGTCCCCAAGTGAGTACAACAAGTGTCTCAGTCAAGTGGCTTTGGTTCAATGTCAGGTGATGGAAATATACTAGAATCTGAGTGTTCTCACAAACTTGCAGTATTACTAAAACAAATTCTCCTGCAATCTAGTCCCAAGGTTAAGTTTCCAAAAAAAATGTTTAATGGAACAAGTCATACTTAGCCCATCAGACTTTTTAAAAGCCTATCTTTAAAAACAAATAAACAAAAACTCTATCCATTTTTGCTAATGAAGTTTTGTCTTTCCAACCATTTTTACTTATGCCTCCAGCTGACTTGGCTAATTGCACTGTATTTGCCTACTTACATGTAAGTTTACATGCATACATATAAACTAAATGTATGAAAAGGTAGAATACATTTGAAAGGGATGCCAAATACTATCTTTTATATCTATCTTGACTTCTGAGGGAAGTGAATATCTAATTTACCCTTCCCAGAAGAAAGAATATTGGGGAATTAGGAAGTTTGATATTAAATCTGATTTGAAGATTTATTTTTTCTATTGGATTGAGGGCATTGATCATACCTTATTCTCAAAGAATCCCTAATAAATCTCCTGATTAACTGTGATAAGCAGTGAGCTGTGCCTCCTTCACCTTGACCTCAGTCTGACTCATATTTGTTGTTGCCAGGGCACAACGACAGCCAGGACTTCATCCTCAAACACCAAACAAAAACAGGAGGTACAGCCGCCGCTCCTGGGATGCCCAGATCAGGCAGTGGAGAAAAGTCCTACATTCCTGGGACCCCCCCAGCCAGCCTCTGCAGGGCCGGGGGGCTGAGGGGTAGGTGCACTATTCTTGATTCCTTTTTTGAGTGGTGGATTGAGCCGTACCTCTTCCCATTTTGCAGAGATTTAACTTTCACTGGCTGAAAAGGGAAAGTCGGAATAAGATGCATGTTTCTCTGATTCTGCTGCCTTTCTAGGCAAGGAATGGAGAGTCTCTTAGAACCAGTGGATTCTACCCCTTTGAATGACCTCCTAGATGGCTAGCTCCAGCCCCTGGAACCCTAAGGAAATCTAGAAGGAGACCAGAAGGGAGCCCAGGTAGTATCCTCTGCTGAAACCCACTGGAGCAGGGTCAGAGATGAGGTCTGGTCCATGAGCTCACAATTAAGATGGGTAGTAGTCCAAGAACAAAAGAAGGAAAATGGGGCAGCAGAAAAAACAACACCATGACCTGCCTGGTCAGTGTGGCTCAGTGGTTTAGCATTGACCCATGCACAAAGAGGTCAACGGTTTGATTCCCAGTCAGGGCACTTGCCCAGGTTGTGAGTCAAATCCCCAGTGGGGAGCATGCAGGAGGTGGTCAATTGATGTTCTCTCTCATCGATGCTTCTCTCTCTCTCCCTCTCCCTTCCTCTCTCTCTCTAAAATCAATAAATAAAACAAACAAACAAACAACAACAACAAAAAAAACCATGACTTGAGTAAAAAAACTTGAGGACTAAAAGTGGCATAAGGATATTTAATTATAGTTTGTAATGGAGGGAGTTGGGCTGCACTGGGGGCTATTTTATACTTCATGAAAGAAGTATAATCTTTTGAAGTGAAGCCTGAAACCTGACTTGCAAGGTTTATTATTTTTTAACTCTCAATTTCTTTCAGTGTTTTGCAAATGAGTCAATGCTCACTTCTTAACTCAATTGTTTAACTTTAGTAAGCATGGTTGATAATAAAAAGGGGAATCATCTAGTGGTGAAGATCAAGGGTTTAGAGCCTCAGACTGCTTTTTTTTTTTTTTTTTTTTTTTTGGTACATGCCTCTAGCGGGAACCGAACCCTGGACTCTCTGGTCTGCAGGCCAATGCTCCAACCGCTGAGCCAAACCGGCCAGGGCAGACTGCTTTTTTCAAAAAAATTTTTTGTTCAGATAGAGTGGGAGGGAGAAAGAGAGAGAAAAATCGACATTAAAGGGACACATCGAGTGGTTGCCACCCGCACAACTCAACCAGGGCCGGGGACAAACTGCAACCAAGGTACGTGCCCTTAGTGGGAACCAAGCCCAGGTCTCTCTGGACCGCAGGCCGACGCTCCCACCGCTGAGCCAAACTGGCCTGGGCCAGACTGCTTTTTTAAATACTACCTTTGTTCACAACATGGGCAGTCACTTAACCTCTCCAGCCATTTCATTTGTCAAAAGGAGGAGTTTTTTTCTGCCCTGGCCAGTTTGGCTCAGTGGTAGAGCGTCATCCCGCAAACAGGAGAGTCCCGGGTTCGGTTCCCGCTAAGGGCACGTACCTCGGTTTGTCCCTGGCCCTGGTTGGGGTTGTGTGGGTGGCAGCCACTGGATGTCTCTTTCTCACATCAATGTTTCTCTACCCCCCCCCCCTTCTGTATCTGAAGATAAATGCAAGTGTCCTCAGGTGAGGATAAAAGTTTTTTTTAAAAAGTTTTTTTGTTTGTTTTCATTTGATGATTGTATACAAAAATGAGAATACATATTTAAAGTATGTAACACAATACATATTTAAAGTATGTAGCACATAAGTGCTCCATAACAGCAATTATTGGAAACCACTTCTGTAACTTCATGGCCCCTGCCAGTTCTTTTGCCAGGGGGGAAATATGCAGGGCAAGGAAATGTAAAGCACAGCTTCCCTTCACCCCATTTTCTTGATAAGAACATAACTTACCCTCTACTTTTCTTTTTCAGTTTGCAGACTGGGTGGCTCCGGACTACTCCCTTTCCAGAATCTGTGAAGATCCCCACTACTAGTTCTACTTTCTAACTGATCACAGTTACTTATCTGTCCCAGACTTGAGTAGGGTGCAAAATATTTAGGGAAAACAGATATCTTTCAAGGGACTTGTTGCTAAGTGTAGTAGTGAGGATTTACTTGCATGACTGTTAACTTTCCCATTGATTAAAAAAGAAATCTAAAATTCTGCCCTACAAAGAGATCACAACACGAAGGCATTGTTTAAAACCTCTCCTTTTCTATGTTTTGCCTATCTCTCTAAACCTTTTGATAGAAGAGACTCAAACGAACATAAGAACCGGAAACCATCTCGCTGTTTCCCAACCTCTTCATCTACTAATCTCTATATTCAGTCTCTTCAAAAAGAACTTAAACTTTGACTGAGGTGGGAGGTGGTGGCAGTGGTGGAGATTTAATAAAAGGTGGTTTACTCTACCTGAAGAAGAAATATAGCACCATCAACATCTTTACCCCATTTGCCTTTTCCTGCCTCCCAGTCTTAAGGAAGTGGTCCAGCTGTAATCACCGTACTCCCCCCACCCCCACGCGAGCTACTGAACCGTCTATGATGTCATAATCACAATCCCATTACCTCATCCTGTTGGGGGGGGCCAGTGCGTGGAGGAAGGAGAAAGAGTGAACAGCTCTGGGCCCTCCTCAGCTTTACAAAGTGTTTTGGGTGAGGGTTAATTACAGAACCAAACGGGAAGTGCCCCCCAACAGTTGTAAGTCCTGTATTTATAAGGTTCGAACCCATCCGGCCGCTGGAAGAGTGGCTCCTGGGACTTAGAACAGGCCCTAATCGGCGCTTGGACTACACTTCCCAGAAGCCTTCACGCCGCGGACGGGTCCTCTGCTGGGGGAAAGGGGATTCCTTCAGACAGGCGGCGGTAGAAGGTGGGACAGGACAGCAGGTGAGAAGAACCTCGGCTAATTCTCTTAAGCCGCGTGGACCGATTAGAAGGCTATACTTGGGCCAATGTAGAAATGGAGGGTGGGGACAGGGGCTTTGTTTACCTTCTTCTGACACGGCCTCCCCCGCGGCTTTCGAGATATACCTCCAACTGGGCCCATCCATCTTCTGCACTATTTTGGAGGGGGTGACTCAGTAGTGAGGAAACCGCCCTCATCTTTAAGTCAAAGAACCGGAATCCTTCCTGACAACACTACTAAGAAAGATTTTGAGAGAGAAGCGACGCGGGTCTCGAGCCTCCGCGGACAGTTCAGGGGGGCTATGTGAATAGGAGAGGTTCCTCCACTCTCCTGAGAGGCCCGTTGGTTCGCGCCGGCGCCTTTTAAGGGCACCGTGGGGTGAACGGAGCGCTCAGAGCTGCTCCGGCCGCGGCCCTGGGAGCCGGAGGAGCTGCGGTAGGTGGCGGAGGGCAGGTGGCGCTCGGGCCTCGGGGCGGGCTCCTCGGTCGTCCCTCCCTCTTTCCCTCTTTCCCTTCCCCCAGCCTGGCCGCCCGCGCGGCTGGGCCTTTCTGGCCTCCTCCGCGGGGAGAGCACGGGACCCGGTGGGGGAGGGGGTGGGGGAGTGCTAAGTCCCAGACCCTCTCCATCCCCTGCGTCCTGAGTTCGCTTCCGTGGCTAGATGATGGAAGCTAATTGGGAAGGGAGGAGCGACAAGCCCCCTGACTGAGCCCTGGCGCCCCCTTCCCAGGGGCCAGAGGAAGCTCCATGCCCCACCCCGTGGGGACAGGCAGGGTAACCGAGGGAAGGGTTGAAAATTGGAGGGGGGCCTAGCCTTTTGCTTCATCGGCGTGGGGGGAGGGGTTCGCCCCACTTGTCACTCCTATCTGCACCAGAGCCATATGGGGGAAGAGCAGTCAGGTCCTCATTTACCTGTTCATGCACCTCCCTGCTTCCCTCATGTTTTCTTTCAGTCTCCTCCAGAGGTTTGGAGCTGGGACCTGGGGGAAGGTCCCCAGGGGATTTATGACTCTCCTCCCCCTCAGCCTGACTCGATCCTAGGTTCTCCAGGTTTCAGCACAACCTCAGCATCCCTGAAACCCGAATGTCAGGGGTTACTGCCATCCAGTAGGAGATGGGGTGAGGGTGTAATCTTTATTTTAGGGGGCCGATGATGGAGGGAAAGCCTGGATTGAGAGTTGGGCCTGGTGAGATTGTGGGGAGGGCCTAGCGGCCTGCTGCTCTGTGCAAGGCTGAGACCCTTTCCAGTTAAGCTGAGAAGTTTTACCTTGTTTAGTGAAGGTTCAGGGCTGTCTATGCCCCTCAGATATAAAAAAATGGCAGGGGAAGGAAGGCAGCAAGAGAGAGCTGCTTACACTTTTTTGTATGCCTGCCTGAGAAAGAGGAGGCCCCTCGCGGAGCTGGTTTGCCTTCTTTTGTGTCCTGGTTTGATTCCTTATGGCTTCCGTTCTGTTCCCCCTCTCAGCCTAGCCTGTTTTAGGAAACTCAGGCTGAGAGTATCAGTTGTGTGGTGGTAGTTGTATTGTTCCAATTACCGCCGTGTGTGGCCACGTCCCAACAATTAAAATGCAGAAAAACACGAAATCACTCTCTTCACTTGATCCTAGAGAGGGCTGGGAGTTTGCTATTTGGCCAAATGCCTCATGAAAAGACTTGAAAGAGTTTGCTTCACTCTCTGCTCCTTATGACTGGTCTGCCTGAAGCTTAGGGTCTCTGGGGTAAAAGCCAGCAGTTAGGTTCCCTCTCTAGTTGGTCTTTGAGGGTAGAGTTAAGAAACCAAGAGCAGAAGTGATATAAGCTTTAGCTTCTCCCACAAGAACATAGGGGAAGCAGCTGAAGGGAGCTCTCAGGAAGCTGGAACTTCATTCAGGGTTGTAATAATTATGCATAAAAATGATAGTTATAGTGATGATCGACTTCATGCCTTTCTTACAAAAAACTCTTAAGTATATCCACGTGTATTTCTTTGCTCTTCCTTGTGACCTGCCTCCCTCTGAGATAGGAATGGGATAGAGATGATTACCTCTTTTTTTGTAAAAGTAGAAAGTGATCTTGCCCCCAAGGTCACAGAAGAGCCCTTTTGGGCTTCTCTTGGTATTCAGGTGATAGAGGTTGGTATCTAATCACATAGGTAAACCCAGTTGCCTTCCTCTTAATGATATCATCACTTGTGGCATCCTGAGGCTTTGTAGAGCAACAAACAGGAGGGATGAGAAACAGCCTATGTGGACTCTTGTTTGTACAGGAAGGAGGGTATGCCTTTTACATTTCGATATTGTGTGTTATATTGTATGTGACAAATTAAGATTATTCAGCCTGTTTTATATGGCTAAACTGAGATGAAGAAAGGTTAAATGATTTGCCAAAACTGCCACAGCAAATTGGATCAAGATTTAGATTTCTTGATAGTTTGTTCTCTCTATTAGCAGATACTACATATACCCTCTGGTGAGCTGTCTGCCTGCTGGTCATTTATGGGAATAGGCAGAATAGTATGAAGACACTAGGTTAACCTCCCCTTCTCCCTTGAGTTAAGGCCTCTCAGGTGATTGTGTCGGCTTCAGGCCTGTTGTCTGAGAATTAGTTTGTTTCTACCAAAATTGACCTGAGAAAGAATCTTGATTAATTGTAGACATGGTTTTTTGAGTCAGATCAGGCTAAAAACTTGGTTGAATAAAGTCATAGAGTTGTTGTTTTCAAAATCTGTAGAGTTGAAATGTAATTGGAATTACCCTGGTACTATTTAATTATCCTCTTCTCATTTTATCAGAGAATATATATATAATATCTGTTGTAAAACTATAGTATAGCTGGTCAGGCTAAGGAAGAACTTAAAATCTTGTTTACTCTTGTCTGAAGCAGAAACTCATTCCTACAATCACTGCTCCTCCCTATTCCCTATTATTATTTCTGTGGTCTATAAAGGGGTACCTCTCTTTGCTCTTGACTGGAAGATAAAGAAAATTGGGCTAATCAGGATGGAAATAACCATTTGGTCACTCGTCTCTCTTGCTTGAGTTGTTTTCTAAGTGGTGCCTGTATTCTGGGTAGACAGCAGAGCATGAACCAGGCTAGGAGTAGCAAATAGGTTTCAACTTGCTTGCCAACTTCAGTTCATTTTACTGGATATCTGGACTACCAAGCTTAGAATGTGACTGAGGCTGTGTTTAGGCTTAGCTGGAAAGAGCTGTGATCAATTAATGATGTCTGCCAGAGGTCTGGCATAGAGATGTTGTGGTATGTGTGCCATGCATTTTCCATCTCTGGACCAGATACATCTCTAATATCACTTGGGGCTGGTCCCTCTGTAATTGGCAGACTCAGCAGGCATGACTGGAGAGGGAAGTCCCAATGGTGCTAGAATGGTGCTGCAGTGGCAGAAGACGGCTCACGAGTGAGGTCTGGAAGAACAACAGGGAAGACATCCATCATTTGCTCCAAAGTGTGCAAGTCAGATCCTGGGGAGAATCATGATTACCCTGATCACTGAGCAGCTACAGAAACAGACTCTGGATGAGCTGAAATGCACACGCTTCAGCATCAGTCTGGTAAAAGACCAGTCTTCCTGCTTCTCCATGACCCCTTCCCCTTTTTTTCAGAGGCTGTTTGTTGCTTCTACTTCACCCTTGTCTTATGCTATACAAGTCATGGTACTTGTACTGGAAGAGTCCACTAAAAGCTCAAAAAACCCAGCCCAAAAGGAAGGGGTCAGGGATTTTTCCATTGATAGAGAAGGGACACCAAAACTTGGGTGGAGAAGGGTTTCAAATATTGGAAGATGTGCATTATTTTACTCACTAACTTCGGGAAGACAAGAAGAAGAGCACACTTAAGAGTTCCTGACATCCCTATAACTGACAGGAATTGCAGGGGTGAGCTGAAACAGGGCTTCTTGGAAATCTGTGTCCTGAACCTGAATCATGATGGATATTCTCTCTCTCTTAGCCTTTGCCTGATCATGCAGACATCTCCAACTGTGGGAACCCTTTCCAGCTTGTGCCTGGTAAGGTGTTGTGTGTGTTTGTTTATATGTGTGTATGCCCATGCTTCCATCCACATATTTGTTTTATTGGTTTCCAATGACCAGGACTAGGTAGCCTACTTCTGCAATTTTCTTGCCAGGGTCAACGGGCGCTTGTCCCTGTTTTACATATCACTGTGTAACATTAAACTTTTTTTTGTTTTATATAGCTATATATTATTTTACTATAGGGTTGTACCATAGTTTAGTTAACTAGTCTCCTATTAATGTACATTAGGTTATTTCCAAACAAAACCATAGTGAATGGCGTTGTACATGTGAAAATGTATCTGAGGTATAAATTCCTAGATTATGAATTATTCAGACAAAGGGTCTGTGATCATGGGGGCATTTGAATGGAGGCATCACTATTATACAACCAGAACTTTAACCCATGCTGCTAATCTGCTGTGCTGCTCACTTTCTTTTCTGAGATACCTAGCAAGGGAAATAAGTTGGCAAAAGCATCTTCATTCAACTTCTTCCTCTGATTTATTAAATACTTGCTGAGAGCCAGGTATTGTGCTCTAAGTACAGAATAGGACACATGGGTCCTACTCTCACGAAGGTTAGTAGGAGGCAGAATTGTTGACCAAAAATATCAAGTGTGGGTATTATTCTCTATCATCAAGTATGACTTCATATACTTACCAGTTGTTCCAAATATTAAGCTCCTGCAAAATTGCAGTCAGCTAGCCAGAGGAGCTTGGAGTAGGCCCTTTGTCCTTTTTTTAAAAAATACATTTTTATTGAGATTTTTTTTTTTTTTTTTTTTTTTAGAGAGAGAGAAAAGGAAAGATAGAAATATCGATGTGAGAGAGAAATATCGATTGGCTGCCTCCTGCACGCCTCCTACTGGGGATCAAACCTACAACCCAGGCAAGTGCCTTGACCAGGAATTGAACCAAGATCTCTCAGTGCATGGGAGGATGCTCAATCCACTGAGCCACACCAGCCAGGCTGCTTTGTACTTTAATGAACTGCTTCCCAAAAAGTCAGAGTTTTGGTTAGAATTCAGTGAGGACCATTTCTTTTAGTCCATTTCCCTTCCAACCCTTGGTCCCCCGATCTGTTTGGATTTCAGAGTAAGCCTAGGGAAAGGGAATCAATGTACTTGGTGGCCAGACACAGGAATAGGAGTAGCATTAAGTCTTAGAATTTCCCAAGCATGGTTCCACCATCAGAGGCTTTTCACATCCTGTTTGCCCTCCCTAGCAATAAAAGTGATCTCTTACCTGCTTGCTTATCTCTTACTCCATGGCAGCCCTAACTGCTGTCTTGGTGCTGTTGACCCATTAAAAAGGGGAAAGGCTGCCCTGGCTGGTTTGGCTCAGTGTTAGAGTGTCGACCTGCAGACCAGAGAGTCCTGGGTTCGGTTCCTGCCAAGGGCAGATATCTCGGTTGCAGTTTGTCCCCAGCCCTGGTTGGGGTTGTGTGGGTGGCAGCCACTCGATGTGTTTCTCTCACATCGATGTTTCTCTCTCTCTCTTTTTCCACTCTTTCCCTCCCATTCTATCTGAAGATAAATACAAAAATGTCCTCAGGTGAGGATAAAAAAAAATTTTTAAAGGGTGGGGGGGGGAGGCTAAGGAAGGAGAGGTTAGGCCTGCTTTTCACAACCCGTGGCTGGGGGATTGGGGAGCAAAATAGGTTTAGATTGAGTGGAGTGAGGGATGGAGCAGCGCATACCACTGACACAGCGTTTGTTTCTATTGTTTTACCTTTGAGAGGGAGTGGCAAGGTGCTATATGAGAGTATGTTTTCAATTTCATGTGGTTTCTTATAATGGAGGCAGAATAGCATAGTGGTTAAAAGACCTAGCCTTAAAATCAGACAGACCTTGGTTTGAATCCTGCTTTGTTCATTTGATTGCTACATGACTTTGAGCAAGTTAACTGGACTTCTCTCATCTGTGAAATGGGCATAATAATAGTATCTACCTCATGGGGTTTTTGGGAAACCTCACATAAAATGCTCAGTACATTATGGGACACATAGTAAGCTCTTAAAAATATATTAGCAATCATTAATATTATTTTTATTATAAATGCCTTCCAGAAGGTGCTTCCTGGAGGGGCCTGCCCCGCTGTTCCTGTGCTGAGTACCAGGACAGCCTCAGCCTCAGCTACCACCCCTCAGGCTTGAGCCTGCACCTCAAACCACCCAGCCGGGGAAGTTCCCCACCGGAGCAGCCCCTCTCTCAAGTCCTAAGCCCTGAGCCCCCTGACCCAGAGAAGCTTCCTGTGCCCCCTGCCCCTCCATCCAAGAGGCACTGCCGCTCACTCTCAGTGCCCGTGGACCTGTCTCGCTGGCAGCCGGTGTGGCGGCCTGCCCCCTCCAAGCTGTGGACTCCCATCAAGCACCGGGGCAGTGGTGGAGGGGGTGGGCCGCAGGTGCCTCACCAGAGCCCTCCAAAGCGGGTCTCCAGCCTCAGGTTCCTCCAAGCTCCCAGTGCCTCTTCTCAATGTGCCCCAGCCCACAGACCCTACAGTCCCCCTTTCTTCAGCCTGGCCCTGACCCAAGATTCCTCTCGACCCTGTGCTGCCTCTCCCCAAAGTGGCTCCTGGGAGAGTGATGCTGAATCCCTGTCACCTTGCCCGCCCCAGCGCCGCTTTTCTCTGTCACCCAGCCTGGGCCCACAGGCAAGCCGCTTCTTGCCCTCTGCCCGGAGCTCCCCTGCATCCTCCCCAGAGCTGCCCTGGCGACCTCGAGGCCTCCGAAACCTTCCCCGAAGCCGCTCACAGCCTTGTGATCTGGATGCTCGAAAAGCTGGAGTGAAGCGGCGCCACGAAGAGGACCCCCGGCGGCTGCGGCCTTCCTTGGACTTTGACAAGATGAATCAGGTGGGACTAGCCGGGCTGAGGAAGCTTAAATGGGAACAGAGGGACTCTGTTCCATCTTTCAATTTTGAGCTGCCCTAGTTCCATGCCCTCCTGGCAAGGCCTTCCCTGGAGCTCCTTTCTGTCTGAGCTTTCACTAGGGTGATCTACCATCCCAATTTGCCCAGGACTGTCTCGGTTTTAGCACTGAATCCTGCTTTAGCACTGATTCCTGAAGTCCCATATCCTGTGAAACTCCTTGGCTCTGAGGGTTCCAGAGAAACTGGGGTGAGATCCATGTTAAGTCTTCCAACAGGGATTCCAGATTGTTTTGCTCTAGAGCCACTTTCCCTCTTCTCTGAGAATGCATAAGCCACAAAATGCCATCATCAGTGCCTTGCCCCCTCGTTGTGCTCAAGGCCGGTTTTGCATACTTCCCCTTCATTGCTTTAAGTGGATCTGGGAGAACTTAAAACAGGCTGCTGCACACATTCGTCTGTTCAGCAAATGTGTATTTTGTATTTTTAAATTTTTTTTCTTTATTGATTTTAGAAAGAGAGGAAGGGAGAGGAGAGAGGGAGATAGAAACATCTATGAGAGAGAACATCGATTGGCTGCCCCTCCTACATGCCCCCCACTGGGGATCTGGCCCACAACCTGGGCATGTGCCCTGACCAGGGAATTGAATCTGCAACCTCTTGGTGCGTGGGTCAATGCTCAACCACTGAGCCACACCAGCCGGGCCAACAAATGTTTTTGACTTCTCAGTGTGATTGCAGTTGTCTTATGCACTTGCCCACTTTTTCATATTCTTCTAGACTATGAAAAGGGTCTAGAAGTCAAAAGGAGGGCACCAAGTTTTTCTTTTTCCTAAGTGGCTCTGGAACCAGGCTTATAATCCATAAGTACCACTCTTCAAATTTACATACACTTATTCACAGAGTCATCCACCCAAGCAGTTGGCAAACATTTATTGCATACCTACTATGTCCTGGGCTCTGACTAGGCCCTGGCAGTACAGTAGTGAAACAGGCAGATGATATTTCTGTCCACGTAAAGGTTATAAATGAGCTTCTAATTTTGAATCTGGTAGAAACTATGGGATCTTTCCTCGAAGAAATGTACATTACACTGAATTTTCCAAATTTTATCAGAGAGTTCATAAACCCCACCTTAAAGCCTGGGATTCCTGCCTTTGAGGGTAACTAAGGGACAGGACACTTTGAAATACAGCTTGGGCCAGGGTGTTCTAGGATGTTATTATCTTTGCCTTTTTTAAATTTTTATTTATTTATTTATTTTTTTAAAGAGAGAGGAAGGGAGAGGGAGCATTTCTTTGCCTCCTTAACTTTGTTGTTTGTTTGACAGAAACCATACTCAGGAGGTGTCTGTCTCCAAGAAACAGCCCGGGAAGGCAGCAGCATCTCTCCACCATGGTTCATGGCCTGTAGTCCCCCACCCCTTTCTGCTTCCTGCAGCCCCATTGGGGGTTCCTCCCAGGTGCTGAGTGAAAGCGAAGAGGAGGAGGAGGAGGGTTCCGTGCGGTGGGGGCGGCAGGCACTGAGTAAGCGGACACTGTGCCAGCAGGACTTTGGGGACCTGGACTTGAATCTGATTGAGGAGAACTAAAACTGAGAGGCTACTTCCTGGGGCCACACAGACTGACTCTATTATGGCTACTAACAAGTGTCGAGACCCCAAGACTGGGGGCCCAGCCTGGGAATGGGGATGAGTGGAGGGCTCCGACTCAGGGCAGCCGGAAATCTCGCTCCAGAAAGCTCGACCACGCGGAGAGACTGGCCGGGACAAGATAAACAGAGCTGGTGGCGGGAGGGACAGCCCCAGAGCAGACCCTTCCCATGGCGGCCCTGAGTGTGAGTATTCCTGCCACTGAGAAAGCGATGGGCAGGGAAGGAAGGGGTCTGCTGACCCCAGCTCGGGGAATTTCACTAGCCCCTTTGCTTCAAAGGGCACTTGTGTCTTAGAATTTGGCCAGGGTGGGGGGTTCATTCAGCCTCCTCGGAGAAATTGTGTGAGAGTGTGTGTGTGTGCTTGGGAGTATACTCAAGGAAAGTGTAAAGGTGTGTTTGCGTAGCCTTAGGGAAGGAAGGCAGTTGCTCCTTAACAGTAGAACATCATGATACCCCCCCCCCCCCCCGGATCTTGAGTTTTCACGGGACAGTGGGCTTCTTCAAGAAGTCAAAAGGAGGGCACCAAGTTTTTCTTTTTCCTAAGTGGCTCTGGAACCAGGCTTATAATCCATAAGTACCACTGGCTCTGCAAAGGATTCTGTTTGGGGGTACTGCAGGGTCTTTTAAGTGCTGTGACCTCAGCCAGTGGTCTTTTCCTCAGGCCCATCCCCCTCCCCTAGATAGATTTAGTATTGGGGCTGGAGAGGGCTCTTCTCGTTGATTCTGAGCTGGCCTTTTTTCCTTATCAGATTGCCTAGGCTGTATACAACCTGCCTCTCTCACTCTCTAAGTAGATGCAAGCACATGTGGGTAACTGAGGCAGGGTTGAAGGGCTTCATCTCTTTCTTTTCCTCTTTACTAATGGGACCTTTTTCCCCTCACCCTCTGACCTTCGATGCATTTGGACTGCTGACCATTTAAAAGCAGCCTGTGATTGCTTCTTTTGTAAAGCAAGCAACCTCCCTCTACTTTAGCTGTTTGACTATTTGGATTTTCACATATTGGGCTTACCCAGAGTGGAGCGCACCTCTACAGGGCTGTGGTTGACACTGGGTAGACATTTGCATTTGTGTTGTGTGTGTGGTGTGGCTGACCAGTAGGTGAGTATTCCTGCGTGTGTGAGTGAAGCAAGCCACTCCCAGGCTGGTGCTCTCCTCCTGTGCCCGGTGACTGCCCAGTGGCAGCTCTAGCTGCCCTTCACTCCCACCTGCTGCCAAAGTCCCTGTGCTAATGGGATTACAAATACAAAAAGTGGAAAAATTTTTTTCGTAAACTTTGTTTTATATTAAAAAAAAAACCATAAGTCTGTGTGTGTGTTAAACATGAGGTCCTGCCTCTGTGGCTGTGTTTGAAAAAATAAAGTTTTATTAGAATAATCCATTTTCCCAAGCAACCTTGTGTACTACAGTGTCTTTTTCCCTTCTCTACAAGGAAAGGCAAGGAGGAAGCAGGGAGAAGGCCACCTAACTTGTCCAGCCCCTTCCTCTACAGCATGGCTGGGCCTTTACCCTTCAAGGGCAGTATCTGGTCCCTAGGTCCTTTGCGGCCACAGCAGTCACATCCTATGGCCCAGGCTTCTGTTAAGGCCTTGGTTAATTCTGGCAGTCTGCTTTGGTCTCTGTTTTCCTGGTACTTATACCCGTCTGTTGTCTACTGTTATTCTCCTAACAGGTTGAAGCCAAGTATTAATACATTCTAGCTCCCTGAGAATGCTTGATGTAGGCAGGGACTTGTTTAGACTGGTTTTGGAAAGTGGGGGGAAAGGCATAATGGGAGATTTGACCAGGAATCTCTTTTTGAAAAAGTTTTCACATGCTATGTCCTGAAGAGATGGAGATTTAGTCATAAGAATTCAGATTCCAAAGACCCAGGCAATTTCTGCGTCCTAAAAATACTGCTTTTTAAAATTATCCTACCAGCAGAGCTTTTTTGTCCTAGGAGGTGGTATTTTCCCTAATGCTTCAATTTGGAAGTTTCATTTGCAGAAAAAAGCTGTGTGGCTCACTCTCTTTCTTTAGACCTTCCTATTTCACCCTTTTTTCTCCCTACGTTAGCATTCTTCCAATGTGTGTGGGTGAAGTGTAGCTGCTTAGAGATCCAGGCAGGAGCCTCTGTCCTTAAGGCATAGCCTTTCTTTACTAGTTTGGTGCTGACTTGCCAGGCAACAAGAAGAGTCAAGTTGCTTAGCCTCCGTCCCAGTTTCCTGCTCAAATTGGTGGCAGTCATCATTGAATACTAATGAAGTGTACAAGAGGACAGGATTGGCTTGACTACCTGGAACAGGAACCTTTGAGGAGATGAACATACAATTTAAAAAGCATGGGAGTTGTCACCTGCCCTGGAAACAAAGGGAGGGGTTTTGAGGGGGTGGGGCAATGGAATGTACTTCAAGAAACTCAGCATATCCCTGGCCAGTTTGGCTCAGTGGTTGAATGTCGGCCTGCGGACCAGAGAGTCCTGGGTTCGGTTCCCGCTAGGGGCACATACCACAAAAAAATAAAATAAAAATAAAAATCTTAAGAAGCTCAGCATAACAGATTTTTATCTTTAAAACTACTATTTTGTTTCATCTGCTCTTTGAGCAGGGTTAAAGTTTGAACATTTGAAATGACTCCCTGGCCATTTGCCTTTCTGTTCAATTTTTTTTTTAAATATTAAGAGCGTATTGTGTTGTTTATTAGTAACATGCTATTTATTTATTTATTTTTTAATCCTCATCCGAGGACATTTTTCCATTTTTTGTACAGACAGAGCAGGAGGGAGAGAGAGGAAGAGAGAGAGAGGGAAACATCGATGTGAAAGGGACACATCAAGTGGCTGCCACCCGCACGACCAGCCAGGGCCGGGGACAAACTGCAACCGGGGTACATGCCCTTAGCGGGAACCGAACCCGGGCCTCTCCGGACCGCAGGCGGACGCTCTAACCGCTGAGCCAAACCGGCCAGGGCTCTGTTCAATTTTTTTGTTGGGTTTTTCTACTGCTTATTGACTGTGAGGCCAAATGTGATTTAATTTACCATTCCTGAAGTCCTAATAATGTAGGAAAGAATGTAGACTCCTTGAAGGTAAGGGTTTCGTATTATTTAGTGTTGTGTCCCCAACACTTTGAAAAGTTATTGGCACATATTTGTTGAATAAATTTCCTATCTTTGCCTTCCCATCCCTGAGCTTAGGCACATTTCTGTCTCTGGTGCTGTGAGAAGCCTGCTTTGAACACAGGTAGTAATTAGAGCTCTACATGGGAGAAAATTCCAGTGTTGAATTTTGATAGAAAAGCTGCAAGGCAGCTAGATTTTGTATGGATTCACCATTATTCCCTCCTACTAACTACAACTTGTGGGCCATGTGCTTTAGGAAAATATTCTTAGGTCTCAAGTTGGCTATGGGAAATGGAAGTTCTAAGGAATAGGGAAAGAAAAAATCCAAGAAAATGTTTCCTTGGTGCTCCATAGGGTTAGTTCTAGACTAACTTCCCTAGATGTCTTGTACTTTTACTAAAGTCAATAGTTGGTGCCCACTCCCCACCCCTGCTCCCAACCTTTGCTACAAGCAAAGTAGGTAAAGGGTAAAAGACAAGGTTATGGACAGATTACCAGGTAGGCACATTAGTCTTGTTGAGAGAACTAGCTACTGCTCTTTCCTGTCTGTAGGGCAGTTCTGTGAAAGAAATGCCACTTTTAGGATAACAATCATGAATTATTAGTAAACTCTTTATCTTTCTGGATTGTATACTCAGTCTCTGTATCCATAAGACCATGGAACTTGTGCTAGTCTCTGATATTATCAAGCTTAATGATTGAGGTTTCCCATTGCCTGGTGTGAAAACAACCTAAGCAAAAAAAAAAAAAAATTATCTCCACTACAGCCCCTTTCCTAACTGGAGCTATTAATCTCCTACACTTAATGTGAATTCAGATTGAAGTGGTGGGTTTTCTCTGTCCCTATCCCCACTACTTCCATGGTAAGATGAAGTACTATTACTGAACCAGAAAAAAAGAATCCCTACTGTTGGTCCCTTCCAGTTCCCCTAAAAGTTGAGTTGAGAAAAACCTGGACTTAATAACATTGGCAGACTGGAAGGGGAAGAAGCTCTGTGGGTTTAAGTCAGAATACCAAAATGTTGGAAGCTCATTGACCTTCAACCAGTAGGAAGAGTGGCATTATCACATCCAATGGATATAACACATTGGTCAATTGGAAAAGAACCTATGAAGTCATGGTAGTATAGAATGGGATGGTACCATGTTATGGGTCAGTGAGAAGAAAGATATTTTCTGATGGAACAATGGGGAGAAAGTTCCCTAAAGAACAATGGCAGAAAGGGTAGTGCATGTTTTCAGGATAGGAAATCAACAGGTACTAGGGTGCTAACTTCTCAGCTCAAAACATTCACTTGCTAGGTACCTTGCCCCCTCAGCCCCTCACCCCAGTAAAAGTCTTTGGTGTCTGAGGACGGTAAGCAAAAGCCGCCTCAGATAATGGGACCCCCTGAAAGAAGGTTGGGACCAGGATGGCGCCCTGGGGGGCTGAAGGACCCGCCCAATTCCCACCCCTGCCGAAACTGCAATTCCCCTCCTTGACGCAGGGGGCACTGCAGGCCCCGGGGAGTTTGGGGCGGAGCACTGCGAGGGGCCGGAGCTGCCACCCCGCTCCGGAGCGCGGGGGGCGCTGTGCGGGGCCCGGGTTGCGGCTCCGCTCCCGGCCACCGGGGGCGCTGCGCGGCGCCGGTGGTTGGTGGTGGCTGTTGGGGGGGGGGGGGAGCCGCGGCCGCGGGTGGTGCGGAGGGAGGCCTTGCGGGTGGATCGGGCGCTCGGCGGAGAAGGTGGTGGGAGGCGGCGGGCGGGAGCGAGGGTCCGGCCGGCCCTGGCGATGGCGGACGCAGCGGCCTCCCCGGTGGGCAAACGGCTGCTGCTTCTGTTCGCGGACACCACGGCCTCGGCTTCGGCCTCGGTGCCCGCGGCGGCGGCGGCGGCGGCGGCGGCGGCGGGCGGAGATCCGGGGCCTGCGCTGCGCACTCGGGCCTGGCGGGCCGGCACGGTGCGGGCCATGAGCGGGGCGGTGCCCCAGGACCTAGCGGTGAGTGACGGCCGAGGCGGGCACTCGAGGCCCGGGCTGCGGGGCCTGCGGGCGGCCTCCCCGGGGGCCTTTGTGAGGGGGCGGTGGGGTGGGGGTGACCCAGTTCCGCGCCCCCAGTTCTCCTGAGCGCCCCCCACTGGCTCCTCAGCACCCCTAGTTCTGGCCGGCATGGCTTCCGCGTCGGGGTGTGCGCCCGGGTTTCCCTCGGGGGGCTACCAGGGAGCCAGAAGCTGCTTCCTCCACCCGGCAGGCCCCGCCTCCTGAGTGACCCTTTTTCAGCTACCCCCCACCCCCAGAAACGTCTTCGGGGCAAGCTCCAGAACCCTGGGCTGCCGGGCCCCTCAGTTCGGCGGGTGCTGCCGCTGCCTCCTGCAAGACGCGGACCTGTAATCCCCAGCCTCTCCCTGGAGACCTGCGCCCTGTTCCCTTCCTCCCGGAGCCCCGAGTGGGGCGGGAATGTGGGCAGTTGTGAGAGGCACAGAGGCTGCAGTTGGAGCTGCTCGGGGCTTTTTTATCTGGCAGTTACTTCCTCCTTGTCTGAGCCTGACTCGGCCTGGCGGTCTTCAGAAAGGCCAGCTCTCTTTGCCTTTCTGGGTGACAGGAGCTGCAGTTGTGGCTGTTTTTGATAAGTTTGAGATCTGTCTTTGCTCTGAACTCGGCTACTCCCCCAACCTTGGGAAAGGTTTTGTTTTGAAACTTTGTATCGGGGCTTGACCCCTTTTGAATACTTGCCTTGGTGTTTTGTGATTAAAGTTGCTCAGTAATAGAACTTAACTAGCATTCGGGACCATGATGTGCTATTTTTGTTAAAGTGGCGGTAAAAATACTGTCTTTGAGCTTTGGCAAGCCTCTTGAGTTCCTCATTTTGATAATGATCCTAGTGTCTCTGCTGAGAGAAGGCTATGAAAAATAGGATTCTTTTGGAATGTAATAGATCAGCAGGCAGAAGGTAAATTTTCTTGGTGAACTTCTGCAGGTTTGATTCTCTATAAACGCGGACGCATCTTGTGAGACTTAATAGTGATGTAGGTTTCTTTTACTGATTGTTGTGTTGATCAGCGGTGTTAACCCCCCCGCCCCCCTCCACTCCGATATGCAAGCTTTATGGGTTGTTTGACTTGTGGCTGGCTTAGGCTTTGCTTCTGCTGCTTGCGTTCACTTGTTTTGATCTTTCTCCTTGCTACATAAGAAAAGGCTGCTTGAACATTTATGATGCTTCAGTAGGGCAAATTTGTAAAAGGATATCAGGAATGTAAGGGTGTGAGGATGATGATTAAGGCGATTTGCATTTAAATTCCTCTGTGT